TCGATAAAATAAAATAAAGTCAACAGAGATGTTAATCTTTAATGTATTCTTTGTTGCTTAGTAAATATCTTTTCATTGAGAAATTAACATAAAATTTCGATATGTCTTTAGCCTCTATTTTCTCTGAGATATGCTTAAAGTCTGCACATGAGTTAAGTGGGGTTGTTTGCAAAATCTGTAGAACTTTGGCTTGAATGGAGTCTGAGATACCTTCCAACATTGAGTGTGTCATTTTTATGAACCTCGAAAACTGCTGCATCTCAGATTTGTCTACAAGATTTAAATAGAAAGGGACTCTAAGGCTGTGTAGCACTTAAAAGCATTAGAAATAATCAATAGTCATCATTTACGAACTCAACCTAAGCGGATTTACGCAAAAATGCAAAAATGAATTCATTCACACAATAAAAAAGAATTTAGTGCTGCTTTCTGGCATGTTAATCGCCATCTAAATGCACATTTCTCATAATGAGGGAAACCTTTCGACAAATAAATAAAAATTTAAATAATTTATCATTCTTAAATCGACAGTCAATTCTTTTTTGTTCACGTAGGTGGTAAAAAGTTTTGTTAAATATTTTTTTTTTGGCTGAGTATTTGACTATAAATAACAAACTTCATTCAACCTTGAGAACATTTTTATAACAGGTGCATTTGTGCGATCAACATCGAATGATGTACAGTTTAAAATTTATGTCCTTTTTTCTCTCGTTTCAACTATTTCAATTTTTATATTAATGTATCATAGTGTTTAAAAATACCAGAAACGCTTTCCTCTTATCTGATCTAGGTACGAAAGACATATCCATCGAGACACGTTGAGAAAGAAAGTTATAAAAATGTTCCTTATCTATGATATTATGTCGTCAATCTTAAACTCTCAATTTTGTTTTTCTCATTTTTTGGTGTACTTCATTGTAAAACGTGATTTCTGTGAGTTTACGTATGAAAAAATATTTTTTCTTTGTAGCTCTTGCTATAGAATGAAAAAGATGAACTTAGCGCATTTTGCTCATCAAAAATTTAAATTATGAATATTCATTTTAAATTCAATTCAAATCTCATGTAAATTTGATGCAAAAATCTAGATTCTGAAAAATGCGGAATGCAAAGTTAAAATCTAAAGGTTGAAAGTCAGCGATTCAAACTGTTTAGACTAATAGAATAAGCATTCTAATGGATGTATTAAAATGAACAAAGCATTGCTTTGTGTTTGAATTTTTATTTTGTTGATATTCGGGATCATTCTCATTTATTTAGATTTTGTGATATCAATAAAATCAGCATGGAAATGCTTTAAGCTGATTTTGTAATACAGAAGAATTAGTAGAGTTACTCGAATTTTACTAATTTTAGGGTCTATTTTCCAACAGTTATTGATGTTCTTATTTAAACCATTGTTTATAGTTTTGATTCAAAGGATATCACTCATCTAAAGCATTTAAACCTTTTGCAAGCCAGAGATTACTTTCGTGTGTCAAAAAATATATCATCCGAGCACAGATTTTGATTATAGTTTAGAATTCAAGTCTAAAGTTTTAAAATCAAAACTTAAGCAATAACCTAAAGTTCAGTTTAGTTGATTTCAACCGCCTTGATTTCAAACTCTAAGTCTAAATCATCCAAAATGGCAGATTCCTAGAAAACCTTCTTATTATTTTCTCATTGCAGAAAAGTGCACTATAAATCTTCATGTCTTCTCGTTTCTGTCTATTAGTTACTGTAATAGTAATTGCTATGATACGGTTAAATTAACACGAGATGAAAAATTGTTCAGACAAGCTTGCTCATTTTATGCATTAATGCTTCACTTAAACTGACAATATTTTTTTTCTTATTTCTTTTATTCAACCTTATTCTCATTTTAAAGTCTTAATAAATTTTATTTTCTATTTTATCCTAAAATAATAATAATAATAATTCAATTAGGAACTCAATAATAGCATCATAATTAAAATTGATGAATACTAAGCTACTGTTCTATCATCATGCCATAAAGAGGATTTTCGAGTAATCAATTTAAAATTTAAAAAAAAAAAATAATAATATTCACAATGAAGAAGCCATTGTATTAAAATTTACTTCCAATGAGAATAGAAAGAAAGCGAAAGAATTGAAAAAAAAATCAAATCCTCCTAATGCCTACAAGAATAAATCGTTTTTACTCTTTTTGTGAAGAAGCGATTGCTTACGATGTTTTAATATCAATAATATTGAAAAGTCACGTTTCAACTACGGGTGGTCAAACAGAATATGCTGAATATACTACATTCATATATAGAGATATACCGATGTTTGATACTTCATCCACCATGTCGTTCGATTAATTTTCAATGGAAAAAAGAGAGAGTTCAGGAGCTCACGAGAGGTCTTGCGAATGAGCAATAACAAATAACAATAAAGGGGAAGCAGAAGTTGCAAAAAAACGGTAGAATTAAAATTAAGAAGTTTTTCTCAGTTGTCCTACGAGTACACGTTATTCTCATTCAAGCAAACGAAATTGAAACAGACAATTGCTTTTTGACATGATGATCGCTTTTGTGGGGATTGTTTGGATGTTTTGTGATGATATTAATATAAAGAATATAGGACAGACTGAGGACTGATTTTTAGGGTTATCTAATGTGTCCTCCTTTAAAATCATAAACTGATGAACTCTAAACTTGAATGAAAATAAAGTTTGAGGTTAACTAAAGGAGGACACAGAGATACTTCCAGAAAGAGTTGTTTCGATCAGGAATATGAGTAATACATAAGCTACATTACATAATCTACAAATGATTTCACTTCTATATTTCCATTTCTCTCACACTACTTGTGCCTTTATGAACGTAAAAGGTTAAAACATTTCGTTTCCGAAAACTTCCTGGAATTTTTTTTTTATTATGTCCATTGTTTCTCATTTCTACTGCATCGCAAAACAAAACAAATCTAGTGGAAAATAAAATGAATTGTTTTCTTTTATAGACACATTCAAAATGGGATCAATCTAGATGTGACATTTTTATTTCTATAAATATATAAACTTTTTCCTTATCTTAATCGCTTTAACGCCTCCGGAAGAGTGGGAAATAAAAACGCGAGTCACATCTCTAGAAGCTCTCTATTATCATTTGCAAATATTGCTCACTGGCGATCATCGTCATTGGAGCATCTGCACTTCGCGCATGAAATGTTTTGCGCTTTCGTATTCGGATTAATGTGCAAACAGTGAAATTTATGCAAAAAGGTATAAAATGAGGAATAATTAATGTCTTATCTTGCCACATTATGCAAGATTCTCTTTTTAATTTTTGCCATACACTTGCAACTGCAAATGAAAAGCATGTATTTTAATTACATTTTGATTGTTTTCACGTTTTGTTTGACAATATAATTTCACTAAGTAAGATAATTTATAATTGCATAACGATAATTATGATGATGATGAACATTTTAATGAATTTTAAGAATTAAATTCTTCTTGTCATGTGGAAAGAAATTCTCTTAATCCACAAAAAATGATATTGTAGACTCAATTTATACATTCTTTGTAAGTACAATTTGACGTTATCTCTCATAAATATGAAAATTAAAATTGAAAGTAATTTAAAAAATAATTCGTACCTTTATGTACGGACAAAACAGAAGTAAAACAATAATAACTTTATATATCGTGTCTCAGACTCAAAAGCAATTAAAAACTATAATAATAATTTTCATGATAATTCTGTCTTATGGCAATTTTTTATTTTTTTTTTCATTGACTTCGAGTAGACTGACTGTATCATCAACAGATTTTCGCATTTAAATTAATCTTTATTGCAAGAAAAAAAAAAATTGTAGACTACAGCGAAATTAAATCAGTAGGATGTCATTGAATGTAATACCATAAATGCTGCTATTGATAGTTTTAGTTTTGTACTCGAGGTTTTTGAGTGGAATCACTGAAATGTTGTACTTTATTGATCATGAAACCCACTTAGAGATGATCAAGCAACAAAATCGCAGCATTTATTGCTGAATTTCTGCAGGGACAATTAAATAAATTCATACCTAGAAATTCTATGAAAAATAATTCTCAGATCGATTTCAAAAACAGACAACAAAGAAGCAATTAATGCTCAATCAACGAACAAAAAATGTAACATTTTCATGTCAATTCCCATTCAATTTTTTTTCGAGCATTCATTTTCTAAACTCTCAAAGGTCATGACTTTGAGTTACTAGAATTGAACTATAGACTGCATAGAACATTTTATAATTGGATAGAATTAAGGCACATTAAGTGCACTCGATGTTTCTTGTTTCATTCAATTTAATTCTCAATAAATAAAATTTTTCGAATGCCTTGCGTGCTTAAGAACGTGAAAAAAGCTTTAAGTAAGTAGTCAGGTAATAATAACAATAAAACAGCAGCTCTACACATGTGTTTTTAAAAAACTATAGAAATAATGTTTAATCTTTATGATAAATACAGCATTTTCATACATTAAAAATGCTAGTCCATAGTTCCTTAATGAATATTCATTTACAATCAGTTCTTTCACGTCTTTCGCTTCAATGCCGTTTTTTTCCTATAAAAATCCCAAAGACTTTTACTTCTTCGACTATTTATGGTATATTATTTTTTCAATTTCTTTACTATTGCAGTTCAAATAATTCATGTTCATTTGCAAAATGCCCTGTGTAGATATCGATGTTCTAACACGTTATTACACCTTATATCTGTGCACACTATATATATTTTATTTCTATGGCTATTAATAAATTGCGTCCAACTTTTAGGGTATAATGATATGTGCCAATCAATAATTCAACTTTATTTATAAAAATTGTATGTTGCAAGTAGCTAGTGAGTGTAAAAATCTCATGGACATCATTTTCGCATGTCCCTACCTTTTACATTCACTTATGATTTGAATTTTACGATTTTTTTTTCTTCTCGATTTAAATTTCTTATTTTCCCACACAATAGCTTCAACAACAAAATAATAATAAAACAAAAAATGTGAACTTACCTATAATAATCATTTTTACAGTAAATGTTACCCTCACGACAAAACAGCGATGTTTGTTTATCGAGTGCATTCTCACAAACGCAACATTGCAAGCAGCCCGAATGCCATTTTTTATCGATTGCTGACAAATAAAAGCGATCCTGTTGAATGTGAATAACATGAGGCGCACGCGAATCCAAATGAGAAGAAAAGAAAACAGAAAAAAAAAGAAGGAAAATGTTTTGAGTGCGAGTCGGAAATTAATTTAACAGTCATTGATTTAATTAATTAGCAACTAAATGGTCTATGATAGCGAAAATATTCCTTTTATTTAAGTAGCGTGCCAATTGCTACTAACATAATAGCAAGTGCAAATGAATCAATTGAAAAATCTCTTACTTAGTTCTTTTTTTTCTATTTAATTTCAAGAAAATAAGAAGACAAAATTTACACAAAGTCTGTGTCTTGTGCACTTGCTTATTTGCTGCTTTGTTGTTGCTTCTTATTTTATCTCTCATACCTGAATTAATCGACCACATCCAGCACATTCATCCGCATTATTTCCTAATGACGACGATGATGTTGGCGGTGCATCGATGGATGTTTCAGGACTGCTTGGATTTCCAATTGGTTCCGTCTTTAGTTGTAGTACAGATGGACTTCCACTTCCATCACATTCATTATTATTATTGTTATTTATGCTATTTGGTGGTGTAATTGTTTCCTTTTTACATTCTGTGAAGTAACTATTGAATCCACTGCTGCCATCTAGACTATCGTCCTGACTTCTTCTTATGCTCTCGTGGTCAAAACTATTAAATATTTTTTATGGTATAATTATTGTGAGAATGCAATGAATAAATTGATGATAATACATACTTTTGGCAGGAATCAAACATATTTGCGTGATGATTTGTCATTAAATTTTTATTTGATGATAATTGAGGTGATATAATGTGATGTTGCGGTGGCATATTTGTGTGATGTTGTTGATGGAATGGATGAAAATGTGAGGCTGTTGATGACGTGTTTGGAGGTAAGATTGTTGTTGATGATTGAATATGTTCGTTACAATTATGATCGCCGATCGTTGGGCATGTTAAGCAGGATGGACGATGAAGAAGATTATCTGCTGTTGTCGTACCCAACGGTGTGTAACATTGTGATGATGCTGAATTTAAAACTGTCAGATTCCCTGTCGTTGGACTCGCATTGTTTCTCTCGTGTGGACTAAAATATCTTGCGCTCTGTTGCTAGATTAAATATAAATAAAAACATATAAATGTCTGACGGAGGGAAATAAAAGAGGCGAGAACAAAGTGAACAGGCTGAACAAATTTCCAGTGAATTTTGTCTAAAAACTTACAAATTATATATCAGAGAAATTTTCGGGTTAATTAATTGCAGCAATTTTACATTCTTTCATGCATTTCGTTTGAACTTCTTATTTTATTGCTTGCTTGCTTGCTTGCTCTCTACATACTAATCTTTTTTTTCCTAAGCCGGAAAATTTTAATGAGTGCCATTTTTTGTCACTGATGCAATACATTATGTTGCGCATACACACATATAATCGAGCGAGCGTCAGATGAAATACAGAACGTAAAAGAAGAATCGCTTTCAATAAGAATCGCATGTGACATGAAGCATTTACCGAAAATTTTCTTCTCTTTTTTTTATTATATTACAATTTTTTTTCGCAAGCATATGCGAGATTCCTTAAATGACGCGAAGATTTTTTTTTATTGTATGCAATTCGCAGAAATTTCGTTGATAAACTTTTATGACTCTTTAGAAGGAAACTTTCTTGCACACAAGTGCTACATTCTACAACTCTTGGGTTTGATATGAACCTACAATCGGGCAAGACTAAAAATCTGATTTCTTCTCTTCAAATTAAAGCTAAATAAATCATTCGTCGATGTCATTTTTCATCTTATGTGAAATGGGTTAAGAAGAAATAATTTTATAAAATGCAAAAAAAAGATTCATTTTAAATTATTTTATTAGATTTATAATATCTTGAGCTGTCTTGTGCATCAAAACAAAATTTCCGGAAACAAAAAATATGTAAGAAATTTGCCGGCGTTGTGATGTAAAGACAAGATGACTTTTCCAACTTTTAATTAATGTAAAAAAGAATTTTAAATAACGTTGAAGTTATTAATATCGTTTAAAAAACTTCCAAATATAAATAAGACATATTGAATAGGGCATATGATGTTTCGGTATTTGGAAGACCTTCGAACATGAGTTTGATTTTTACATTAAAAGTTCGATTTGACTTTTGATAAAATTTAATTTTGATTTTAATTCTAGTAACTGCAAAAATCAACCATATAAAATGTGTCAATGAGTCTGATATTAAGTTTAAATATTAAAGAATAATTGAGTTTAATCTGAACATTTTTAAAAGTAATAGTTCACAAACTTTAGTCAATTGCAATTAGTATTGGACAGAAAATTATCATATAATTATAACAAAGATTGATTATAAAAGCTAGTTTTAGGAGCTTACATGGCTTTTGCTTTTAACTTAAATCTAACATAATAAGAAATTTTTAAAATCGAAAGAATGTTAATTTTGAAGATTTGAAGAATTGAAAGAAATTTTTTGAAGAAATAAATATGCAAGATAATACTTGCAATTTTCAAATGAGTGTCTGAGTCTTTATAATATTCTTCTTATAATAAATCTTAATCTAAGTTCATTTTTAAAAACTTCAAATTAATATCAAAGAAGATCAAAATCATTAAAACTTTTCGCAATTTCATTAATCAGCTCCGCAACTTTAGTCAGAATTTTGCAAAAACAACATCGAACATCGATCAAACTTTCCGATAAAATAAACCTTATCAATAAACCCTAACACAATCTTTATTTCCCACAAGCAATCACTGCCATCATTAAAATCAAAAAATTCAATGGTCATTTCTATAAGCTAGCTTCAATCACCGCTTTGAACTTCATTCCTCAATGAAGAATGTTTATTTCATTAAATAGCTTATTTTTGCTCTTAAATAAAGAAATAAATACCATCCATATAAAAAAAATGTAAGTACAGAAGTGAAAAACGAGAGTAGCTGCAGATGTCTTATGTTAGATAAAAAAAAGAGTCTCAAAATGTAAGATGACTGCATTTCGAGGAAATGTGTCGCTACAGTATTTCATCTATAGATAAATTCTAATTATCGTCTCTTTTTACGTGCGTCTCCAATTCTGATTGCATGACATATAATATACGTCAACATAACATATTAAAAAACATGATGGAAATCGTTTGTTAACAGGTTTTTATCAAAAGACGATAGATTTTCTCATATTTATTTTTTTACTCAATGTACATTCTCGTGTATAAAAAGGAAAAAAAAATACGAATAAGTTGAACGTGTAAGGGAGAATAATTAGTGACATAAAATCACATAAATCTTGAGTACAGTGAATGAGTGAAGCTTTATGGATGCATAAAAAATATGTTGCGTTAAGCATAAAGAATAACAAACATATCATACAGAGAGACTTTAATTTATTTATGTTTTAGTAAGTTGAAAAATAGCACATCGGGCATTTTTTTGATGTTAGGTGCAATTTTTCATCTTCCTCTCCTCGACAGATTTACTGCTGCATATCTGCTGCTTGGCAAATTTCAAAGGAGGAATTTATCATTTTGGGTGGAAACTTGAGACATTAAAATTTCCTTCTTCTCATTTTCATATCACATAAAAATGCAGTTGGAGACACTTTTTCTTAACAAAAATTCCCGAGTGGCACCAGCAACAAAAACTGACCATAAAATAAGAATGAATAAGGGGAAAATATAAGTTCCTTTGTGGCAATAAACCAACGTGATGGTACTGAGACGATGCTATAAAAAGACTCGTTATTGATGGTGCCGCTCGGGATTCAAACATATATTAATTTATTCATATGTAGGTATATACAGGCACATGTGTATACAGAGCAAGAAACTTCATCGCATTGCAGATTCTGAAACAATAATAAATTATTGACCAAGTCGCAGCAGCAATGCTGTTGAGTAAATATCAGCATTTCAAGCGATGATTTATTTCGGAAATTTGTGATCATGTGGAACGGTGACCGGAGTTGTATACAATATTATCATATGAGGAGAAATAAGAGAACGAACTCAGCAATTGAAAAAAAAAAGAATCTCTCTCATCAAGTCGAAGGTCGCCGCATGTTGATAATACAGAAATATGGGAAAATATAATATAATCATAGATCGATGTTATGTGGATGTCAACAGAAATTTATCAGGCTGAATGAATAAGAAAAAATTGACTTACATTGACGCGTCAAGTGACATTAAATTTAATTTTGATTTAATGAATCATGACAAAATCACGAGCAATTCTAATAAAATATATTTTTTTAATATTATTTTATTCTTTTTAAAAAGTGTTATCAATTTTCTGCTAAAAAAATATTTAATGACTCTTTAAATTCAAATTAAATGACAGCGCGTTTGTCTCGTCTCCACATCCACGTATGTGTGTAAGAGAAGATCGAGAAACTTTAAAAGACCGTCGCCAATTCATAATGAATGAAAATTTTCTTGAACCATAAAATTTTTGATTCTTATGTGAATGACACCGTGCGATGGGTTATCATTCGATAGTTATTAGTTCTGCTCTGAGCACATTGAATCATTTTAAGCCGCTATTAGGTTAATTTTTATGAGCAATTAATTGTTCTTAATCGTAATTTATTTGAGAAATTGAATTTATTCTTGGAAATGCTGAACTAGATGTTGTTTACGAAGCTAAGTGATTGATGTTAAGGATGGTAATTAGAAAACTAGATTGAATTAGTTTCAAATATGGGGTCGTTCATTTATGACGTCCGAAATTAACGGTCATTTTTTAAAAAAGAACAATGGATTTCCTAAATTTCTATTGTTCTTTTCTTGCTGACCCCGCCCCCCCCCCCCCGAACATCATAAGTGAACGGCCCCTATGTTAGAAATTCAAACTGTAATCAAAAATAAATAAAATTCAAATAAATTCCGTTACTTTGTTCTCTCGTGGCTTGATAAAAACGATGAATATAAAGGAATTCTTACCCAATGCATTACAGGGCGCTCCTCAATGCAAACTCCCATCAGAGAATTTTCAATTTTGCTGTGGTAATTATTCGTAAAACTGTTTAAAAATAAATTAAATTCACTGTGCTAAGGAGCTTTATTAAAACTTCACTTTAATTAAATAACTCCGTGTTTAGTAGGTAATACAAAAATTTAGATCACAAGGTTAGATTAAAACTATTATCACTGTAATAATTTTATTTTTGACTAATTAATTTCTCTATACTTTTTTTTGAGGGTAAACACACAACACTGTTCAACTATTGCCGCTCATAAACTGCCCTCAATGTGCAATTAAATTATCATAATCTATGTAAACGTTAGATGCTTGTCTCAGTTAACAAACAAACTAGCATGTAACAAAATGGCGATGATATTTTTTTGATCATTTGCCGTTATCATAAAATTATCATTTTAAGCTTCGTCTTGAGATCTAATCGTCGTTTTGTTCACGAAATTGTACTTATTCTTGTATCATTAATTATACATAAACATGTTGTTTTGTTTAAGCTTCTTTAGCAATTTGTCTGCTTATTTAGGCCCATTTACAATCATTGCCCAATTATGATTACCATTTACTCATTCTTCTCTCTTTTTATTTTAGTTTTTTTATTTGTAACTTGTCCGTACTCTCAGATGCGGTTCATTAAAATTCAACAATTCTATTGTACGATAAGTTTACACACAAACAATTCATGACATGGAATAAAATTATCTCAAAGTGGTTCTTTCCTTTCTTCTTACTCTCTTTTTTTCACGATAATAATTTTCACATAAAAGGAGTTCACTCAAGATTTTTTTTCTGTTCCTTCATTGCTTTCTTTCTAAATAATCTTTTTTTTTGCGCATGTGTTTTTTTGGCATTAAATTTTTTTTTCTTCACTTTTCACTGATAACCATTTTGCAACGTTTTAGTTTCACTTCTTTTATTTATTTTTGTAGTGTCTAATTCGATTATTTTAAACTATCACAATATTAATTTTTGATCGCGATTGTTTCTGTTTAAAAGTCAGTCATCAGCATGAGAGAAAGAGAAATTTTTTAATTTTTACGAATCCCGGTTTCTTTTTTTATGTATCGCAGCACTTGTTTGCTCATCGAACGAATGCGAATGAAATACTAAAATATATGAAAAAATAAATATTGTCATAAGCTCTCTTTTGGCTTGAGGTTGTTATGGTAACTGCATGTGTATTGAATGATGGGCGTGCACTAGATGAATAGACACCCCTTTACTAACATTTTCGATATCTTTTGTACATAAGACACATACATAGAAGAGCTTTATAGTTGTGTGAGTGTGAAGCTTAATAGTGTGATGCACCTAATGCTCTTGCATGCTTATGTAGTAAAGAAGTTTTGTTAATGGTAAACATCACACTGAATATTATGCTGGTTGTTATCAGAAGCATGCAATTTTCATTCATCAAATCAAATTGTTGTGAGTCTATTTACATACCTGCATTTATGAAGCCAAAATGGAAGGAATAATGAAGACGTTACTTTTTAATTTTAATATCTTGTGAGTGGACCAGGGGGTCTGCGTATAATTTATAGATATAATTTCGCAAGTCCATTTGGGGTCCAATTTTAGTAATTAAATTTGAAATAAATATCTAGTGACTAGACGAAGATAATGTTTCTGATGGATATAAAAAAAAATTCAATCCGGTCTACTCGGGTCGATTTACAACTGAAACTATTGAACTCAAATTTTGATGATCATCATATGGCACTAAAAATATTTTTAATCACTTTATAACAATAATAATAATGATGATAAAAATAATACAGTTGCCTTAAAAATAATCCAACTTCTGTACTTATCACCACAATATTGACTGAAAATAGTCATTTTTCGGTAAGTAGAAAAGTCAATCCATCGCAAAAGAGTAAATCAATACGATGATAAGATAAAGAAGCAATTACACGGCAATTAAATATAGATTAAGATTCTTACTGTTCAATGTGACGGTTTTCAAAATATTTATCATGCACACCGGGGCCTTCGGATATTCCAGAAATTAAAATTTTATTTTTGACACCCCCCCCCCCCCACCTTCTTCCTGGATACTAGTTTTTTGTTTGCTAATCTAATGATCCCTCAAAAACCAAATAAGCAAGGAACCATCCCTTTGCTACTCAATCGTCCATAAAATGCTTACAGAACCAACTACAATCCGAATATTTCTGTAAATTATTAAAACAATAAAAATATGAAAATTTTATTACTCAAATACTGTCATGTGTTAACGATTCTGTTGACATTCATGACCGTATAATAAGAAAGCGCGAGAAAAATTTAATACTTATTGCGATTTTAAGTGTCGCTTTTATGATTCAGGATTCTTTAATTAAAGTATTTAATAATTTTATGGCATTTCATTTATTTCATAAAATAAAATTATTAAATTCTGTGCGTGACTATAAAAAAAATCAGTTGGATGAATAAAAATGAAAATTGATAAGAGTCTAATAAAAATAATTAAGAGGTCAGTGAGTTAAGCCACAAAATTTTATTGCAAAATCATAAAATTTAATGTCTTAATCAGTCTTGATTCTAGAATTTCTTTTTAATTACAACTTTTTTTATTCATAACGGTCGAATTTTATTTGAATTTCTCGGTTTGATTTTTCTGTTACACAATTTTTTTGAAAAGTATGCTTGGATTATGCTGATTGATGGATGTATCATGATGCTGATGATATTTGATATGCACTTTAATTGTTGGATTAGTCAGTTTATGGATATTTTCATTCAAAGTTTCAAAAATTGCAACACATAAAAAGTGTTGCTCCTAAAATGTTGCATGTGACGTCGCTTGGTGGTTGTAGTGTGACACAAAAGTTTCTATCTTGTGGTTTATGTACTTTTTGTAGCGTAATTAAGTGTGCTGAAGTAAAGACTTTAAAAATTTTAATTAATATAAATTTATTTTAAGAATCAAGTAAGTGACAACCACAAGAAAGTTGAAAAATTGAGAAATAAATTCAGTCGCACGACAATGTCCAGCCAATGACTCTTTTTGTGTTTTATAAACTATAAATTAAAAATCCATAATGAAAAAATATTAAGTTTATAAGGCGAGAAAATAATCAATTTGGTGTCTATGTAATAAAAGATTGAAAAATAAACATTGTGGAATTGAAGAGGAGCTGAAAAAAGTAAGAAAAGTCATGATTTCTGTGGGTTTATCGAAAGTCATAAAATTTAATTGCTTCAGTATTTTTGAAAGGATCTGAAAATATTTGAATAACTGTTCTTTGAGATGAAAATCATGTCCAATAATAAAGTCATTATTTTTGCAGACTAATAGAAAAATGCTGGCGAATAATACACAGCAGAAACAGATTATTCTTCCTGTATATCCAGTGATTATATCGGGACAAAAAATTAATACGTCTGGAGCTGGTCAGACTGTCATAGGAACAATAGAGCAACCTCAAAAATGTCATTTGTGCCAAAAGGATTTTCCATCAATGCTCGCATTCCAAAATCATGTAAAGGAACAGCATTTAGACGGAAAAATGTATAGAAATATAATTGCGGTATCGACTGCCAGTATAAATCCCGTAACTACAATGATTCCAGCACAAATGGCAACTGTGCAACATCATTATCAAATAGCAGCAAATAATGCTGTAAAACTCGAAAAGGACTTCCAAAATAATAAAAGCCAAACAATATTACACACATCTGATGTGTTAAAGCAAGCATATCCGAGTGACTTCACCACAGTCAATGTGACACCTGTTATACAGCACATTCAAATTCAACAGCAACAGTCACATCATCACAGAGATAAGGAAAAATCAAATATTCTTCAAATTGTAAAACAAAATCCTGTCGAATATCATATTCAACAGCAAGAGCATGCAGCTATGGTTGTGGCACAAATGAATCAAAAGTCTGGAATTTCGAGTCCATTTTTAAGTAGCACAATAAAATATGAACTTCATGGACAGCCGGTTCAGCTTGTAACAGAAGTATATCCACAAATGATAACCGAGACAGCAAAATCAGATGACATGAATTCACAGTCGTCAGTGTCCTCCCCAGCATCCTCAATTAATGTCCAAAATTCTACATCTGGACCAGTTCTAAGTAATGGCGAAACGATGGAGAAGCAGCACAAATGCCTAATATGTGATAAATTCTTTACGACTATTGCAAATTTAAATCTACATCTTAGAAGTCATTCTGGTGATAAGCCCTACAGTGAGTGTTGCTAGCTATCCCATTTTTTTACTGATAATATTTTAATTTATTTATGTTTTAACACCAGAATGTACAATTTGTGGTAAAGGCTTCATTCAGAGCAACAATTTATCAACTCACATGAAAATTCATACTGGCGAAAAGCCCCATGAATGCTCGGTATGTCTCACATTCTTATCACAGCCTGCGAAATATTTTAATGACTTTCTTTTTGCAGATTTGTGGCAAGCGATTTTCGCAATCAAATAATCTTAAAGTAAGTGCATTCCTGTGGTTATCAACTGGAGTTTAACAATTAATTGAGGATTTTTATTTTATTTTAGACACATTACCGAACTCATACTGGCGAACGTCCCTATTCCTGCAGGTAATTATTAATATGAAAATTTGTGAATGTGTCAAAAATACTTGAAATGTTTTTGGACTGGATTTTAATGCTAGCCCCGGTATCCTTAGTTGTGGGTCTAATGGAGTATGCTTTTAATTTAGCATCGTTTTAATGGAAGCACTAGAAACCGAGCTAGAAGATCCTTAATTAAAGGTTGTCACTAAAGAATAAACCCTAATTGGGATTAATCTAAAATGACCTTCCTTTAAAATAAGAGTTCATCTTCTTCTGTGTAAAGATCCATCATTCTGGGCTTTGTTTATATCATAACAGGAATTTTAAGTCCCGTGATACAATTCTATGTTCAGAAAATCGTTCTGCAACTTATAAAACCTATCATTAGAGCCACAAGTTGTCAATCCACAATCTAATAAATCTCCTTATCATTTACAGTCTCTGCGACAAGTCATTTAATCAAAAGAACAATTTAACGACTCATCTGCGAACCCATTCAGACTACCATCCATCAAGCTGCAGTATGTGCAAGCAAACATTTTCATCATTCAATGAGCTATTTAATCACATGAGACAGCATACTGAGGAGAAGAAACCACACATTTGTACTATACCAGGATGCAATAAAGTATTCAATAGCCAAAATGATCTCACAGAACATACAAAGCAGCACACAAATCCTAAGCCATACAAATGTGATGTAAGTTGACTATCACTTTTTGATTTATCATTTTTTTATGCTAATTTGAGGTTGTCTTGCAGATATGTCAGAAACAATTTACACAATCGAACAATTTAAAGACTCATATCAAAACCCACATATATCAGGATCCATTTAAATGCACGATGTGCACTAGATCATTTCAGGATCAAGAAGAATTTACAATGCACGTACGTGTGCACACTGTAGACAAACCTTACGAGTAAGTCAACAATTGTGAATCATTTTTAATGTCTTGTTATTAATATCTTCAATTTGACAGGTGTACATACTGCAAAAAGAAGTTCATTCAAAGTAATAATTTGAAGACGCATTTACGAACACATACAGGTAAGAATGATTAGTTTGTGGATTGTGTGTTTAATTGTAAAATGTTTAAATTATTTTGTAGGTGAGAAGCCGTACCGTTGTGCTGTATGTGGAAAGTCTTTTAATCAAAAGGTAATCATCTTCGTGACTTTTAACACTTATATTAAGCTGAAAGGTTTTGTTTTATCTTCTAGAATAATTTAAATACGCATAATCGTGTACATACTGGCGAAAGGTAAGGCTCATTTGAAGTTAGATTAAACTAAAGAAATCTACGGATTAAAATAAAATCCAGACAATAATTAATGTCGAATCTTTAGATTCTTGGATTCATTTTAATCCAGCGTAATCCATTAATTTTCATAAATTTAACAACCTATAATTTTATCTCCTATAGACCATTCGAATGTCATCTTTGTGATAGGCGCTTTAATCAAAGGTAAGTACAACATATCATGTCAAGTGTCATTAAAAAGCTTATCATGCAAACTTTTCATTCTCATTAACAGCAATAATTTAAATAAACATTTAAAAACGCATGGCCAAGAGAAGGAAATACCGAAAAGTATGGAGAGTGAGATGGAGAAGTTGATGAACACAGTGATTATGACACAACAAGACTAAATGTTTTAAAATACATTTTTTGCATATAATGGAAAAAAGAGAAGAGTTTTTTTTTTTCTAAATGTTTAGGTAGTAGACTATTTAATAACTCAATGTCCATCGGCTGAAATACGTAAAAAAAGAAAGAAATTAATGTGTATCGTTGCCTCCATACATAAGATTTTATTTTTATGAACAGTAAATCATGTTTATCTTCCAAATTTACGAATTTACATGAAGATTTATTTCTTATTAGTCGTTCTGATCATGACTGGGTAGTTGATTTATCTTAATTCACACGGGTTTTTGCGGTTGATTGTTGTGAGCTCAGGAAGCTTGAAAATTGTCGAAAAAAAAACATAATGATAAGAGACATAATCTTGGCATAAAACTTTTTAAACAGTTTTTAAGGGACAATTTAAAAATAATGTCAAATATAACGTTTTTTTTGAAATTCAAACTTAATTTCACACCCCTTGAAAAAGATCATAAAATTTTGTCCAACTGAAATTTTGAATACTCAAATAAGTTTTAACGGTTATTTTAAATTCAAATTTTCATACCCCTTAAAAAATCATAAAATTCAAAAAAATTACAACGGAATTTTGTGAAATTCAATAAAAAATCAAAAATTGAGACAACTCAACATCCCAATAAGGGGCCGTTCACTTATTACGATACGCAAAAAACGACTTTTTTCGGCCCCCCTCCCCCCCCCTCTGAATACAATATTTCTTTTAAATATAAAAAGACGGTTATATTTCTTTTGTATTATTTTTTCTTAAACATCAAACCGAAAATTTTTTTTTGAAGAAAATTCAAAAATGTCATGAAAAATATTATGCCCGATCGAATTTTGGAAAATTCAATCAACTTTGAATGTAAATATCACAATGATGGGATCATATGAATGACAGATTTAGAGAGATTTACTTTTAAACTTATGATTGATTTAATTTGAAAAATTTCCACAAATTATGATTGTATTTTAAAGTCTTGTAAACCAGTTTTCTATTGATTTGTTATTTTATATAACAAAAACTATGTATTGCTTAGCTATCAAAAGTGATCTGGGCATTCATAAATCATTAAAAAAGGTGGAAACAGATAGAACGTTACATACTTCTTGACACCCCCCCCCCTCTTATGTTACATTTTTTCAACCCCCCCCCCCCTCCCCCTTAAAATGCTAACGTAATAAGTGAACTGTCCCTAATGATGTGAACATAGAAAGGAGCTTTTATCATTATTTTTAGTTGTTCCAAAAATGCTTAAAACTAGATGGAAATATGTTGATGCAATATCATACTCATGCATTAAGTTAAAAAGTTTTTATTTAATTAAAATGAAATTTTTCATTTATTTTGTATTTTATAAAAGGCAGTTTAGAGAAGGAAACCTATAAATGGGCATTATTTAGAGGATAGTATTTTTAAGAAAAGTATCTGACGAGATAAAGATTAGGAAATGTCTATGTAAAATTGATGTTCAATATATTAGTTTTTATTCAATAAACATAGCTATCACCATAAGAGACATTGAAAATGCATATAAAAATTTTAAATTATCAAAAAAATCGCCATTTCGGAAGTAAATGGAAATTAACAATCAATAAAATTTAAAAAATAGAAATAAAAAACTAGAAAAAAAGTTAATTAAATTGTATTGATAATTCAAATGGAAATTCATCGGAATTAAGCTTTTGTCTAAACAGCTGAGCATGTTGCCATGCACAATCTCCAGATCCATCTGACATCCTTACACAAATACTGAATCTAGATTGTCCAACAAGATCATCTTTGGATGTGATAATTTTATCATTTTGGTCCATGTAAGTAACTTCCAGCTTGCCTGTTTGAAATATTGCTGACTCTATTTTAAGCTTGACTGATTTTATGGATAAATTATTAAAGTCAAATTTCCATTCAATTGTTCCAACATTCGTGTCTTCATTTCTAGACAAATATGCCATTTTATGATCATGCTCGACCTTCCTGAATATATTCTCAGACTTAAACTCCCATGACTTCCAATCTGTAGCTGATTCAATCACATTAGTTCCAATAAATCTTTCATATCGATTTTTCGCACAAGAATAACGGACATTAAATTCTTTAGCATTAATTTCTGCTGGCAATAGCTTAAAAATAAAATTACTAGCTACTTCCGTTTCTCCACGACCTAATCGCCATGCTAAAGATCCAGAACTTCGTCCTTTCTTCTCATTCTCAGTTGGTTCTCGAAGAATCATTAATTCTGCTAATTCAGATATTGTTCGCATTTTAATGAATTTCTTTCTAGCTACAGATATGCTTGATTGCCTCTTACTACGCAACTCAATTATCGCCGAAATTAAATCACCTTCTGTACACAATTTTCGTCGTTTAAGCAACTCGTCATGTTGATTCGAGTATCTCCACGTGACATCTTGAACATCATCACATGTGAAAGCTATAACATACTCCAATTTCTTATTCCAGCCATGCTCGTACATTAATGGCGAATCAAAAACATTCTCGGATGGATCAATGTGAATAAATCGCTTTTTTGTGTGATTATAGACTTCTGTCCAAACATGATCGGATGTTGAATAAATGTAGCGTGCATCATAGCCAAGACAACGACAAAGGAATGTAAAGCAGTTGGCAAATTCACCACAACGTCCGGATCTTGTGACTAAAAGCTTCTCAATGTCATTATATCGTGGAAATTCAGTTGTAACTTGACATTTATTGCAGAAATACTGCTCGACTCTTACATTTCCAATTGTTTTAGTTCCATTAGCGATTGTTTCTCCTTTGCAGACTTTACAGTCCATACTATTGACCCACGTGAAGAAATCATTCTTGAACCATGCTGCTAGTTCCTCTAATATAAAATCATCTAAAGGTGGCTCATCGTCAGTTATTTCCTTCTGTTTGATAAGCTTTTGGAACTTTCTTAAATTTTCTATGGCATTAAGCTTAAACTTTTCAACTGGCATTATCCTTAGTGCTGATTTTTTTAATTCTTCATCCTCATATTGCATTACTGAATCTGACAGTTGCTCTAATTGTCTCAAGAAGGCATTGTTGGTCTTTAAGCATTGTGGAAATGAAATTCGCTGTTGGAATGGTTTACAAGCTGTGATTTTTATTGGAGCCACTTGATTTTTTATTGGAGCTAATAAATCTTTTGGTTTTTCAATGGAAGGCTTTTGAATAGCACCTTTGGAAGAAATTTTATTAACAGCTGATGATGATGATGGCTTAATACTTGCTGAGTCATTGTTCCTAATATGCTCTAATCGTTTTTGAAGGAAGTCTCGATAAATTTTAAGCTTATTTATGACACCTAGTCCTCCACGACGCAAGACAAACTCATTAGTATCTAATTCAAACCCGATATCAAGGAATAGCTCCTCAATACCTTCTAAAATTAGCATTTCATTGGCGATTTTTGGATTAGATTTTTTAAACTTTCTGAATTTCTCTTCTTTTGGATTTTTAATAATGTTATCTAATAATTTCAGGCATATTGTAACACTTCCTATGTAAACTGTTTTAGGACTTTTCTCCAATTTGTTAGTCACATCAAGATTTACAGCCATTTCTTAATTAAACTACGTGTATTTTGTTATTTACTAATTTGTTGCAATAATGTTATTGACTGTGCGTGCGTTTAGAAACTATATGATAAGGGTATCTATATGCTGTCTTCTATTCACACCGTTCCTGGATTTTATGCCTAATAACTTATTAAGTGTCAACGTATTTTTGAAATTTGAATTTTTAAAAGTTCAAAATTTGAACTAGTTGAATTTGAAATTCAGAAACCGTCAAATTTAAATGTTTTTAAAGTCGTTATAATTTTTATAAAAAGCATCAACGACTTTGAAACGTTAAAAGTCATGAAATCCTCGTAATATCAAATGAATATGCACATAAATATATAGAACAAGTACGGTGGGAATATGACAATATTTTGATTTTGTTGTTGTAATTTTTTCACTGAGACAAAAAGCTAAAAATCTGATTCTGTTAAAATAATTTATTTAACATGGCTCATTTAGCGAAATTAAACTTAAAAAAACTAACCCAATTGAGCCTGAATGAGTTAATTCATCGATCAATCTACACAACTGCTGTAAAGGTGAGTGATGTCTTTTTTGACTTCATTCATCAATTAATAAAAATTGCGTAACATCTTTAAGAATATATTTCACTGATCAAAAGACTGATTTATGCTGTAAATTGCTGCATCTTGTGACAAAAACAAGTGCAAGTGACTTACATCTCGAATTCTCACGTTATGCTTGCTGTAATTCTTTTTTGCCGACTATGAGAGATAATTTACTCTCAATAATGTAAATGATAAAGAAAACGGGTCTTATGAGACTTGTTTCTATGTATTCAGTATATAACTATGCTGGAGAGTGATTCGCAACGTCATTTATAAGCCAATCTTGTTTCGGTCTAGTTATAATTTGCGTTTTATTTAATGGACAAATATCAATACGAAATGGTTAATTATTCTGGCTTATTTAGCTTAATTAAGCTTTTAAAATAATGCATTTCTATTCATAAATTACAGGCTTCAGGCTTCCGTACTGAGTCAGATACTTTTGGCGAATTGAAAGTCCCAAATGACAAGTATTATGGAGCACAAACTGTACGATCGACCATGAACTTCCCAATTGGAGGTCCAACAGAGCGAATGCCAGTAAGTAGCACTGCTTATAAGCATTAAATAATATTATATTTACATTCTAATGACCCTCTGACATTTACAAACAGCAACCTGTCATCACAGCTATGGGAATTTTAAAGAAAGCTGCTGCTCTTGTGAATAAGGAATATGGGCTGGATGCAAAGATTGCCGAAGCAATTTCTCAAGCTGCTGACGATGTTATCTCAGGAAAGCTTTACGATGATCATTTTCCATTAGTGATCTGGCAAACTGGTTCAGGAACTCAAAGTAACATGAATGTTAATGAAGTCATCAGTAATCGTGCAATTGAAATTATGGGTGGAGTTCTTGGCTCAAAAACACCAGTTCACCCGAATGATCATGTTAACAAGTCACAAAGTTCTAACGATACTTTCCCAACTGCCATTCACATTTCAGTCGCACGTGAATTGAATGCTAATTTAGTGCCTGCATTAAGAGGCTTACATGAAGCATTAAAAGCAAAGTCAAATGAGTTTAAGGATATCATTAAAATTGGCAGAACTCATACACAAGATGCTGTTCCATTAACACTTGGTCAGGAATTCAGTGGATATGTCCAACAATTAGAATTTGCATTGGATCGTATTGAATCTGTTTTACCTCGTGTCTATATGCTTGCTCTTGGCGGAACTGCTGTTGGAACTGGCTTAAATACGCGAATTGGATTTGCTGAAAAGTGTGCTGCTAAAATTGCTGACATTACTGGACTTCCTTTCATCACTGCCCCAAATAAGTTTGAAGCTCTTGCTGCTCGCGATTCGATGGTCGAAGTGTCTGGATGCCTCAATACAATTGCAGTCAGTTTGTTCAAGATTGCTAACGATATTCGTTTCCTTGCTAGTGGACCACGATGTGGTATGTAGATTATTATCGCTATATTGTTAATTTCATTAACAGATTGAACATTCTCATGGGAACTTGTGGTTAATGATTCTCGAATTGTTGACCCCAGGAAGTGGCTTGCTTGCATCCATGTTTAAATCGTAGAATTAATTTTAATCCTAAGATTAATTTTAAATCCAACGTTTAATTCTGTCTCTATGTTTAATTCATTAGGTCTTGGTGAGCTAAGTCTACCAGAAAACGAGCCAGGCTCCTCAATCATGCCTGGAAAAGTCAATCCAACACAATGTGAGGCATTAACAATGGTCTGCGCTCAAGTCATGGGAAATAACGTTGCAACTACAGTCGGAGGTGCTTGTGGACACTTTGAATTGAATGTCTTTAAGCCATTAGTTGTCTCAAATGTCTTGCGTTCCATTCGTCTTCTCTCAGACTGCTCTCGTGCATTTACAAGCAATTGTGTTGTTGGAATTCAAGCAAATAGAGAAAATATCAATAAAATCATGAACGAATCACTTATGTTGGTCACAGCACTAAATGAACATATTGGCTATGACAAAGCCGCAAAGATTGCAAAGACAGCACATAAAGAAGGAACAACATTAAAGCAGTCCGCATTAAAATTGGGATATTTGACAGAAGAACAGTTTAATGAATGGGTCAGACCTGAAAAAATGTTGGGACCCAAGTAAATCAATATATGTCATTTTTAATTGTCTACACTTTATATTGTACCTAAAATCTGAAAAATAAATGAATTAAGAAAACACCAAAAATAACGTTCGTTTAATATTTGAAAATATAATTTTACAGGAATAGCGTGTAACGGTTTTTAAAAATTCAAAAAGACAAGCAGAAGTGAAAATATAGAGAAAATTATTTAAAATTCATAAAAAATTGTTTTAAACGATAATTAAGTGTTTAATTAATTAAGAAAAGACAGATAGGACAATGTCTTACGCTTATCTATTCAAGTACATCATCATAGGAGATACAGGTATGAGATAAAGTGAAATTTTCCATTTTCTTTGTTTTCGATCGATTTTTTCCTTCCACTTTGGCTTTTTCCTCGTCGTCGCAAAAATTTATGCCTGATTATCGCATAAAAGACTGTCAAATTTGCTATAATAAAATTTTGTCAATCAGTATCACAGCAGATGTTTACAATCTACGTCTTATTTTAATAATTGACCGTGAAAATTGTGTGATTTGGACATAAAATATGTTTGCAAAAGATCCAGTTGGATAGAAATCTTCATCATTATATGCTCTAGTCAGCATAAAAACAATAAAATATGATTTTATATCGACAATAGCCAACTCCCCTAATGAAAAGTCTAAATCCATACGTACGATACGGAGACAATTGTATGAGCAATGAAAGTTTGTGAAATCTGATATGTTTAACAAGTAAAAATCACAAAGAAGAGACATCAAATCGATAAAACCAAATTGCATAATTGACAAGATATTGTCGTACACAATCTGTGTATTATAAATAAATCTAATAAGATGATGAATGAGAATTGATAATTAAAAATATTTAAAAATGATTCATACGCAGTTGTAAATTGAGAGGAGAAAGAAGCTTGTTTTGTGACGTCACAGATTGGTATATAAACTTAATAGTCAGCTGATTTAGCCATACTTCTGAAGAGTTCTATGGACTATGCTTCATTTATGATTCATTTCTGTTCTTTAACATTACTCATCATTCTCATGTTGCCAACAATCTGTTGTGCCTCCCACGCATTCATATCACTTACTGATAACACAAAAATTTATTTCTAGGAGTTGGAAAGTCCTGTTTACTGCTACAATTTACCGATAAAAGATTCCAACCAGTTCATGATCTCACAATAGGTGTTGAATTTGGAGCTCGCATGATTACAATTGATGGAAAACAAATTAAATTACAAATTTGGGGTAAGCAATAACCGTAAATTATGTGTTAATTAATTCGCTGCTCATGTGCATTAAAATTAATTGATTATATTTATTTCCTATCGCATTATAGACACTGCTGGTCAGGAAGCTTTCAGGTGAGTCGAATTAAGCCACTTATCCAAGCTGAACAATTATGCAGCAATAGCATCTTGTAGTTATCTTCGGAACACCATTGAATGTGAAGTCGAGGGTTCAAGCCTGACTCCGATTCTGTTGCATATTGTAAATCTTTGCCTTGATGAGCTTTTTCTTTCAAAATTGCTATTTAATGCGTTTTTGAGTTTAATCAGCGAGGCAATATTACTCTAAACGTCCTATATATTAATCTCGAAGTGTAATTAATTATGTTCCATTTACAACTTTGATTCATGAATAGGATACATTTTTTTGCTTACTTCCTCCATCATCCGACGAACTGTCATTTCCGCTAAATTAATTAAATCATATTATTTTTTATTGCAGATCAATTACGAGAAGTTATTATCGTGGAGCGGCAGGAGCATTATTGGTTTATGATATAACAAGACGAGAGACATTTAATCATTTGACAACATGGCTAGAAGATGCTCGTCAACACTCAAATTCCAATATGGTGATAATGCTAATTGGCAATAAAAGTGATTTGGAATCACGTCGAGAGGTAAAGAAAGAGGAAGGAGAAGCTTTTGCACGCGAACATGGGCTAGTATTTATGGAAACGTCGGCTAGGACTGCAGCTAATGTTGAGGAAGCATTCATTAATACAGCCAAAGAAATTTATGAGAAAATTCAGGAGGGAGTCTTTGATATCAATAATGAGGTAATTTGTATTCAAGAGATGTTGTGGCTAGTGAATTTTTAATGTTTTGTGCTGGGCAGAAAAAAAAGGTCAGTTCTTGGTTGAACATGTTTTAGCTGCAATTTATTCCGTCATTTTAGAATTCAAATCAAGTAAAACAGCTACAATTTTCAAATTCTACAAAACCGTTAAAAATTCAAATTCTACAAAACCGCTAGAAATTTAAACTTATAAATTCTGTTAATTTTTTCTAATTCCAGGCAAACGGCATCAAAATCGGAACTGTTTCAACTCCAACAAATCCTTCTATAGGCTCAAATTTGCCCGGAGGTCAATCAAGCAATTCATGCTGTTAAATTTATTTAAAAAAAAACTAATTCAAGAATAAAAAACCTTTTTAACGAAAATCACCGGCATTAAAAAATTGTAAAAGAAGAATTGAGTATGAAATGGACAAAGATCATAAAAAATAATAATAATTAATTAATTGCAACCTACATTTTAATATGTAAAGGAAGTAAAAATCTATGAGAAGATGCGACAAACAGCATAAAACATAATTTTTTTTTACAAAGACAACATTAGATATCAAGAATGGATGATGGGCTTTTTTTTTGCTACCTATTTTTGCATCATGATGTTGCTCACAATTCGACAGCATTCTATGTAAAGAATCAAATAAGTCAAACCATTAATTAATACCTAAAATATTGATAAAAAAATCCTTTAATTTTATAAATATTCTATTCAATAATTATTCGCGATTAAGATTCAAAGTCTAATCTATAAAAGCAGCATATTTGCGTATATAATCGTTTTTTCGTGTCTTTTTGTGGATATGAGTTTGTGCTGAATCTGTATTGCGCTTAATTGAGATTTGATGAGAACTTTTGATAAGTTTTAAATATTATTATGAATTTATGCTTTTTTGGGGAGCTGTTATGGGCTGTAGATTGTGGCTGTTGTGTCAATCTGATTTTATGCTAGATACTGTTAATGATATGGAACTGATTAATCATATTTTGATCAGTATTGATCAGCTCTGCATCCTTACTTTCAACTACAGGATATAAAAAGCTATATTCAGCTTAAAATGCCACAGAGCTCAACCAACCCCATTTAAATACCCCCCTACGTAGTACAGATCCACAACCTTATGTCCCACTATGTTTGGATAATAAAATTAGAAGAATTCCGAATCATTTTAGTTAATTTGTATATTTTTTGTTTAATTATGCGTCAATTATTGTCTAAAGATGGATATTGAAGTGTAAATTATTTGATTTTATTTATCTATTAGATTTTTTATTATTGCTTAATTAGCAGTTTTCAACAAAACTTTACATTGACATTAAGACAGAAGACATAGCGACAGAAGCTAGCTTGCCTAGGGTTGAAGATTAGCATAAGTAAAGTCGATAAGGAAGACTGAACAATAGAATGAAATTTTGCTAGCTTTTATTCCTTAATTTCAATGTAGAATTCATAGATACGACATTCTCATTTTCGAGGATCGTCACTACTTCCTGATACCTTGAACATGCTAAATGCACATTTAATTGAAATAAATTTTTAATGATGCTAAACAGACATGATTCCACATAATCCTGATGATTATATTTTGTAACCAATTTATTGCAATAGATTCGTAAAGTCAAGATCTTTATCTCTTTATTTTATTATTAAATTCATAAATTATCAAAAAACACAAATTTGTCAAATGATAAAAAATTTACCTTAAAATAATAAAACTTCATGTCTTGTATCAAAAGAATTAAAGCTTATTTATTTACTGTCGGTGGTTGACGATTGTTTGTGATTTTCCAGACTTAATTATCATCTCAATTATTAAGTGCTTACTCAACGTGTGCAGGAGACTCATTTGTTTATTTAAGTTTGAGTGCTACACGTGGAGCATTTCAATGCTTCATAATTTAATTTATTTAGCTTTTAAGTGATTTTGAGTTTCAGCTTTTAAATGATTTTGAGTTTCAGCTTTTAAATGATTTTAATGTGAAAATATGTTCAGAAATGACAAACGGGATTTAGGTAAGCTCAAAAAATTAACGGCTTTAAAGTTTAAAAAATTACTGGCTTTAAAATATTCAAACGAACTGAAACAAAACGAAGTCACTGAACTACTGAACACATCAATTTTTTTAAAAATAAATCTGATCGTTATTTTTCAATCATGTCCTTTTAAATCGTTCATAACTTAATTAATTTAACTAATATTAAGGCAACGTAATTATAATATAGTTTCACATTGAAAACATCCGTTCCTTTTCCAAATCTTGTTGCTATTTTCGAGATAAAATAACGTTCAAAATAAATTTAAATTTTATAAAACAACAACACGTGCGTGATTTTAATCTGTTTTTGTCTCTGTTAATTAAACTAATTCGCGTGTTAATATGAAAGAAATTAAGAACATTAAGGAAGAAGAGGAATTAATTATTACTGAGAACATCGAAATTGATCCAAAAGACGAAGTTTTTGACGAAACCATCAATACGACTCGTAGTGCTGCAGAAGTTTGTGACCTAGATGATTTTGTGGACCTAGTAGACCTAACTTCAGATGATTTGATTGGAGCTATTGACTTGACTGACATCGAAGGAGAAATTGAGATTATAGAGGAAAACATTGATCCAAATGTAAATTTAAGATGCGAACTTTGTCAAACTAGTTTTGCGACAGTATCCAGTATGTACAGACACTTGCGATCCAAAAGGCATAAATTGTTTGAAGCAGCAATGTTTAGAACTAATAAACCTGATCTATTTGGAATGCATACAAAGAGAGAGAAAACCATTCAAGACATCCAGTCCGAAATGTACAATGATTCAGTTATTAATCATCAAAACTTTTCAGCACGTCTTTATCAGTTTGATACTAACAATAATCATCAGTTAAATAATCCAGGAAATGGTTATCTATTGGTTCCATCGCCTCAATTCAATATTAACAAAGATCCAGTAACTGGTCATCAAACCTTTCCAGTACATCCACATCAGTTTCAAATGAACTATAATCACCAAACCTTAAAATCAAAGACATTTCAGTTGAAAAGTCCAGAAATTGGTCATCAATTTGTTCCATCGCCTCAATCTCAATTCAAAACTCACAAAGTTCCAGTAACTGGTCACAGCAATAATCATCAAATCGCCCAACTAACGCCAGTTCACTTAAATGATTCAAGAATTGGACATCAAACTTTTCCAGCTAGTCCATTTCAGTTTCAATTTGAGAAAAATCCAGCAATTGATCACCAAATCAGTCAAAAAGAGACTCCATTTAACTTTAAAATTGAGAATGAGCAAAATCAGTACAAAATTGTGGTTGAAACCATAAAACAGGAAGGTGTGGACATAAATACTCCTAACATACATGATATTACATCACAACCAATACAACATCAAAGCAGAAGAAAGGCCTTTATATGCACACAATGTATGAAGAATTTTTCAAGCATTAGTAACTTAAATCGACATACTAATCTGCATCTTCCTGATGACATTTTCAAGTGCCCCACCTGTCCAAAAACATTCAAACAGAAAGAATATTGGAAAAAGCACTCTTTCTCTTGTAGAATGAGGCCAGAAAAGACTAGACGCATGTAAGTACTTTTCATACAGTTTAAATTGACTAAATCAGAAGCTTATGGCTTTTTTAAACAGGCCAGCAAAATATTTTAATTTGATGTTTGAATACAAAACCGACAATAATGAGTCATAGAAATCATTTATGCTTGCCTTTCATTGATGAGTTGACAGCTAGCAGAAAACAAATTATAAAGTATAGCTTTTGACTAATTTTAACAAATTTTATTGACATTGAATTATTTTTTGTTACATTTTTATTGAATTCACATTATCGTATTCTATTTTTTTTATGCTGAAAGTTGACTTACATGCCTACAAAATCCTTAATTATTAATGGTATTTTTTTTTTCATCTTGTTAATAAAAATTGAGTTAGACATAATTCTAAAACTTGGTAACATGTGATATATATGTATTGTAGAGCCTGCTTGCTTGTGTAAAAGTCGATCCAAAAAGCACTTGTACTAAATTACAATTCTTAGCTCTATAAACTGATATTCATATTTTTTTTTTAAATAAAAATCACTTCCATTTTATTGCGTTGGGAAGTTGAAAATGTCACCAATATCATTGCTTGGCGTTTTCTGATCTTTTTAATGGTACGCGTTGATTTAAAAAAAACTTAATTGATATAGAATCTTAATTTGTACTTTTTACTAATTTTATGTTGTGCTGATTACGCTAAAGTTGATGATTTTTCGAATCTTTTTAAACAGAATTAGTGATGAAACATGCTGCAATTAATGCAAATATCAGAATTGCCGCAGCAAAATTCATCAAAAAGTCTGTTAAACATTAATTTGAATTTTTGAACTAGTCAAAAAATTCGTTTTAATTTTTTTGAACTTTAAACTTTGATTCTTTTGAACTTCAAAGTTTGAATTTTTCAAATCCTTTAAAATTTGATTTTTAAAAAACGTTAAAAATTTGAATTTTGAGAATCAAGTAATTATTAAAATTCAACTTACCAAAAACCCTCAACTTTTGCTTAACCAGCAATAAAAACTTAATATTTTTTTTAAAAAAATGTTAAAAGCATAAAATATAAAAACATTAAAAATTTCTATTATAAACATCCTTAACAATATGATTCCTTTTTTTTTTTTGCCTCAATCATGATTCAAATATAAGGCACATTAATATTCCAATTGTCCCAGCCAAATAACACAATCTTAATTCCTAAAGTTTTTAAAGAACTTGATTCCTTCATAAAATGCTAAGAAAGAAATTCAACAAAAAAAAAGTACGTTCTATACTCTGATAGGCATGTTTAGTAAATATAGCAATATAAAAATTAACTTTAATCAATAATAACAAAAAATAAAGATTGTAAAACTAAAATTTAATCAGATTTCTTAACTGATTTCATTAAAATGCTTCCATTATTGACTTCTAAAGCAAATAGACTTTCATCCTTAATATTAGCCAATACCTCGTCGTTTACCAAAACTAGCACATTGTTTGGTCCATTGACATAAATCTTAAAATTGGAATCATCATTTAAATTTGAATTGCTGCCACTGTGATTTGGCGATGATGCAAACTTCCAGTTTGAATTGTTAACTAATCCAGGAATTTTGTAAAGCTTCTGAACTAGTTCCTTTGTTGTTGCTGAATGCATGTAAACTGCATTGTAAGTATTGCTGCCTTCGGTGCTTACGAAAATTGTTAAGCGCGGCTTTATTGCTCTGTTGGGATCGAAAAGAAACAGGTTAGAATCAATGAAGGGTCAGGGTCGATCGGATTAATTTAAATCCATCTGGATTAAAAATAAATCTGAAGATTAAATCCAAAGACTTAAAATTATCACAAAATCAGTCTTCAATAAATCACTTTTCCATCATTTTGAACAGTTTAATAAGCTTATTACTTGTTTACACAGAAACAAGTATGACTTCTCGGTTAGATAAGATTCTTATCACATGTATCGTGACGAAAATATGGCAAAAAGTAAATAAACAACAACTTACTTTGCATGTAAAATGTTGTACATCCTAATTCCATCAGCCAGTCCACAAATTTGAATCAGATCTTCCTTCGCGAGTCTGTTATCAAAATTAAAAACAAATTTGTCAGTCGAAAAAGTCACTTAAAAGCCTTAATCTTAATTACCTCAATAAATCACATCCAGAGAAACTTCCAAAGACATTTGCATGAGCGGTCAAACGATGACAAGCCAGCCATTGAGTAAGCTGACTGGGTGTCGATTCCTTTGTGATTGTTATTGGATTAAGATCATCGCTGTCATAATTTTGTGTTGAGACGACATTTTGATCTAATTTACACAAGCCATTTGTTGATGAGACATTCCCAATGGATGTAACAAACGGCATTAGTGGATTCAAGCTTGATGGCACGTGAATTGGTGATGTTGGCATTACTGGTGAATGATTTCTCTTTATACTATACGAAACAGAGATGAATATTGGAAAGAAAAACAAATTTAAATCAATTAATATTTCAATGGAAAACAATTAAGGAAGATTGTGACTTACTGTTCGGGACTGTAGCAACCAATTGTTGATGTTACTAAGCTTTCACTTGAAATATCATTCAATATTGTACACTCGTAACTCCGTTGATATTTGTCTTGTTCACTTGGTGGTCGTTTTTGAATTCGTTCTCTGTCTTGTTTATGTTTTCGGTCAGCTCCTTTCAATTTGAATACCTAAGAAAAAATTTATTGGTTTTTTAACGTTTTTGTAATATTCAAATATTCACGACAAATCTTATCCAAGACACAATTAAAATTCAAAAAAAAATTCGTCCGTTAAAACTAGGGTTCGCCCACATGCGCATACATGCGAATGTTTTTGCATGTGCATGCATGCGCTAGTCAATTTGGCGAACCCTAGTTAAAACTACTACTCACTTTAATTTGACAAGCTGCAGCATGTAGAGGTTTAGTCTCTGACGGTCCATCGACATAAGTTTCAATTTGAATTCTGAATGGAACTCCTTTTTCACCGCCATGCTTTTTAGGTGTGAATTCTGTAGAAATACAATTAACTTTGATGTAAACGCCGACTTCTTTCATTGGATCCCACAAAATTTCAGCTGTATTTAATAATGGTGAGTGATTGACGTGTAATAGTCCATAAGAAAGTGGAATGTCGATATCCAAAATTCTTTCACCCGGACGACTTGATTGCCAAATGTGCATCTGTTCTCGTTCCATATACTGCAAACGACGTTCATGGAAGCAAATTTTGATGACACTTTTCATAACTTTTCCACGACATGTTGATAAATCGCCCAATTTCTTCAATTTGATCTCATAGCTTTGACCTTGATTAAGGTAGGTCAATGTCTCTTCATTACTCTTTGTTGCAATTGAAGTCGCAGCAGCCAAAACATACTGGAAACGATCATCATTGTGACTAGTTCCACGTCTATTAACGTCTTCATTATTTGACTGATTATTTCCACTTCCTTGATTATTTCCTTCAAGTTGTTCTAAGAAATTGGCTAATCCATTGCTGCTACTAGTGCTTCCCGATGTTTGTTGCTCACCAATATGCTGATTTTGATGTTGTTCAGCTGGAGAGCCATTCATCATTGCAGTTGGATTCAATTGCTGATTTGTGATTCGTACACATGGTTGTGGACTTCTTGGTGTTTTGAGCATATCATTACTGCCATTTTGATTCGGTGGTGATGGAATCTCTTGCTTAAACACTGTCAAGCTGGGAAAGTTAAGCAAAGAATCGCTAGAGCGACAAAAAAAAGGTTGTTAATTGGTTAAAATTACGCAAATGTTGTAAATATTTTAGGAACGAACATAAAAGGATGGATACGCCTTTATTTGCTATACGCGACTTGCCAAAAACTAACAATTAAGTCAGGCAACTGTGCATAGTATAAAAATAAGTCTGAGAATTTTTTTATAAAAATAATTAAAAACTTATAAATGCTGCCAATTAGAGTCATAGTGAAAATTAAGCAAATAAACAGCTTGTCGTGATGGATATTGTTGTATTAAAATATTAAATGTCATTTTCCATCCTCTTATTGTCGTTGACGTGAATTTATACTCACTTGCTGTACTGATTGTTCATCAATTCTGCTGATAAGTCTAAATCTATGTCTTCTGGCCAAGGCAGTCGTCCTAGAATGTGAGAAAAATTGATGAATTAATTCAACTTGTGCTTCAACTTCTTTTCTAGAAACAAGTCAACTGAGAAATGCGCAAAATAGAACTGCTACAAAGTATGTGCAGCTATAACGTGTCATCTCGCTTAATCGATCTACAATTTGATGCCTTTTTTGTGCACAGCACTGCACGTCACACATAATTATCGACTCAATTTAAATGTGTTAAGCATGATTCTTTTATAAAATGCTCTTCCATCATTATTCTTTTATTTTAGAACTTTATTACAAAATTATTTAAATCAGGAAGTGACCTTGTGTCTAGCTTCATACACAAAAATTTACAACTCGTATAATCTCAATTCAACCTGATTAGAGAGAATTCACTGTTTGCAACATTGTTATCTTGTTGCCGCTTAGCTGTTATTTTGATAATTATATGTTCCTTTAAATGAGACTGTTTGTATGCTGACTGGATCTTAGAAAAAAATAAAGATCCAGTTAATTATTGTAATTGTAAGATTTATGAATTAAAATGATTTGCAATCGATTCAATCATGATTAGGGATTTCAATACCGGGATCCCGGGGTCAGGACCGACTTTCCAATACCGGGATTACGGGATCAAAATATCCTTAGACTTTCTCACAAATTTTGTTAATTTTAAAGTGTAAAATAATAAAAACCAGGAAGTTTTTATCAAATAATTTAGGAATTCTTTTTAACTTACAGTTTCCTTTTCAAAATTTTCTAAAGTGTTTAAATTATAAAAATTATAGTTATTGATTTTTTTTATAAAACAAAAGTTTTAAAAGTTTTTACAAAAGAAAAGTCATAATAGCTCGACAAAAAAAAAATCAAATTTTTACTGAAAATTTTAAATCATTTTTGATATGAAAGGCTAAAAGATAATCTTTATAAAAATTAACAAAGGCTTTCATTGTAAAGTTAAAAAGTTCAGACAAGACAAGAAATGGAAATATTGATTTATTTGGAAAAACTTTAACTTTCTTGCTTAGTTTTCTACTTAAAATTTTTTTAAATGATAAATACACCTTATTTGTAATTGAAAGCTTCTTTTTTGAACGTGTTAAACGCGATTTTACACCAGATTTTGAACCGAATCTAGACCCGGGTTTGAACCCGGGATCAACAATTTCCAATACCGTAATCCCGGAATTGAAATTTTGGTCCGGTATTGAAATCCCTAATCATGATAGTAATGAGGATATAGCACACTTAATAAGCTTAGTATATGAGTCACAGCAATCGATCACAATAAAGCATTATCAATTTATGTCTGACTTTTTTATTCTCATGATAAAGTGAAATTAATAAGCAGAAACTTGTCAAAAATGCTTGCGGTACAGTTTATTACCCACAAACTGGTTTTTTCACTGGTAAATCGTTCAATTATTGAGATATTTAATTAATTTTTTCGTTCAGTAATTCACTCACTTCAGTTTTGTTCAGTTAATTTGAATTTTAAAAATCCATTGAAATCTCAAATTTTAAAACACCGTTAAAAAGCGCGATAATCACTCAATTGCGACTAAATTTTGATTTAACAACATTGTAATATTCATTAAGTGTACGAAACAAGTGAACAACTGAAAAGTTGCAATTAATTAGCGCACATCAATAATAAATGTAGTATTTTATGAGCGAGAGAATAGAAATAGATAGCTAATGGAACACACATGTGCATGGGCAAAGATTAGAAACACGCTATTAATGAGTTTATTATTATAATTGTTGTTACTACTACTCGTCATCACTTTATAATCTTATCAGAGTCTTACCATTACTGTAATTGTATCCAGTGAACTGATAACGTTTGCGTGAAAAATCTTTGTCCATATTCCAACGGAGATTATAGAAACGAAATAAGGAAATTCCTGAATTATTTTATTCTTTTGTGTTTGATTTTTTATTTCTATTTCCTTATCGTGTTTTTATAATGAAAAAAAATTATTATTTACTTTACTTTTTTTTTGAGAGTATTGATGCTTTCGAGAATTTTGTGGAGTATAGACAAAAAACTGATAAAAATGCTCGCTTAACCTTTGGCCTATTTTGAATATAGTTAATCAGTCAACATACAGAGTCCCTTTTTGTTGTGCTGAGCATCATTCGCATTTAATTAAATTCTTAAACTTTCATTGTGTTCAACGCAAACATGTCAATTCTTTAAGGTACAACATAAATCGGATGTGATTCAAAAGAATCAAGTCCAATGAACTCTTCATCAAAATTTTTAATTCAATTTTCACAGTCAATTTAAAATTTATTTTCTTTTGTTCACTGTCACTTGGCGATCATGCGGATGTCTCGAGTTACGGATAGCTAGTCTATGCAATTTTTACTCTAAACGAGAATCCTTTAAACTTTAAAGAGCAATAGAATTCCGGTGCAAATATTAACGAGCGCAGAAATGAGACTACTTACGAATGAATGTATATCAATAATTTGTTTTTTTTCGTGCTGTTGTCAGCACTGATAAGAATGAAAATATGTATATTGAAGCTCAACTCACACAAATGTTGAAGCTTTTTTTTGTCTACTTCTCTTTTTTTGTTGTGTACAAAAATAAGAAGCTAAAAGCTTAAGTCCTACATTGAGATACGCGGATACATTTTTGATAAAAAATTTCAATTTTCTTGGTACGAAATGTTTTTGATTAAAGTAAAAACAGACTTTTCAGATCAGATGCTGAGCATGTCTTGTTGTACAAATGAACACATGGATGCTGTGTGATAAACCACGTGAATATCGTCGTCAGAGATGTGGAATTTTTATAAATGATTAAATAACGGCTATTTGATATTTGAATTATTATCACTTTTTTCATAGACTTGATTTGAATTTCAAAAAGCCGTTAACCGAATAAATTAAAGTTTTTTTTTATGGACAACAAATTATAACTGGAATTATGTTGGCTCATTTACGACTTTCAAAACTAGATCTGGAACTGATTAGTTATCCCTAATTTCTTCAAAAATTGCAACGGTTCAAACAAAAAGTTGTTCCTATAGCAACTAAATCCATATCAGCCCGCCTTAACATTCCAATCTTTAATTATTTAAGTGCTCATATCAATTTCCAACTGACGAAATATAATCAGGTTTTGCAGCCAAATATTGCAAATAAAACCGGCTCCTTTTTTAAACAAAAATCCTTGAATCTTAATATGGGGATATTCGGTTATTTCCAAAAAAAGATTAGATGGGCATTAAAATTGAAGAAGAATCTAAACTGTTGGTATCAAATTTTCAGCATAAAATATTAATAATACCATAAATTAACAGTGAAAAGCACAACAAAAATTCTGTTGAGACTTAAATGCCAGGCTATGATAATTTTTGAATAGCTTATCAATTGGTTCTGAGCATTATTTCATTCCTGCATTCACATTTTAAGCATGAAACAATTCTTATCAATTCTTATAATTTAGGATGAACATTTACTGACTCATTCTTGAGTAATTTTATCGCTCAGTCATTCGTTTTTTGTTAATTTCGAGTAATCCAATGCTCAGTAGTAATCAGTGTCAAAACTTAATCAAAAATTAGCAATAGAATGTAAACCTTCGTCATAATTCCTTGAAATTTATTTTTGAACAAATCAGTGGCGCTTGTTGCTGAGTCGTTTCATTGTTTCTATGTTATTAACACTCGAACATGCTTTTCCAAATCATTTGAAGCTATTTGAATCGAAGTTTTTATGTTCAATAGAGTCAATCACGAATTTATAAAAGAAATGTTTTAAAACATGAATTAATGACCAAATAATTGAATAATTGAAATCATCATCCTGATTTTCAAATACAAAATTTAAGGACTAGCTTTTTGCATTCTTAGCAATTAATTGCGTTAGTCATATAGTTCTGAATAGTTATTAATAGTTCTCGACAGTTCGAGAGCCTTGGAAATGATCTTTGATTAATTTCATTTACTGCTATCATGCTTAATGACTTGTTGTCATTGTTGATCATTTTGGTCAGTTCTGTATCATTCTATTTTATAAAACATTAAAATTTTAAACTTGCTTTAAATACCTTTTGATCAATTTGTTGATTTAATGATCCCAAAGCAGTTCACAGGATTTCTCAATTAAAAATATCGCGAATGGATACTAAAGCTTTTTGATAGATAATACATATAGCTACCGTTGCAAAGGTTATACTAAACTTATCTCAAAAGCTATCTGAGAATCAGAAAACTTCTCAAAAGTCTGCACTTCAAATCCTATTTTTAAAGACTAATAAATCTACACGTTCATGTGTGCAAATTGATAATCTAATCTACTCCGTCCAAGGATTATTAATACAAATGTAAAGTTTTTTAAAAAATCCAAAAGTGACGAATTCAATCTTAAATTTGAAAATATCGTCATTGAAACTCAATTTTCATCCATTAAAAGTTTTCTTTTAATTCAGTTCTGTTTGTTCAGCAGCCATTCAAGACTTTAATATTGAGAACACATAAACAACATTTGTTAAAATAAAGAAACTTAAAAGGTATGTGGATGGATATTATTTATCTATATCGACTTATTAACGCATATCAAAGGCATCCGAATGTTGCTAAGGAAGGCAAAAATTACAATGTTTTTTGAAAGTTTGACTGTGTCCTAGTTCGTTTGCAAACAACTGTAACTTATTTGATTAAATAATATTCAAAGTAAGCCTTACCATGACAAAGACGTCGAAACTTTAAGAACTGCCACATCTTAATTATTTTTTAATACTAAATTGATCAAGTTATGAAACAGACAATAAATATTGATGAGAATAATATCATCCAAATTGAGTGGATTACAATTAGCTATTAAACGTGTTCCTCTGGATGTGAGCTATATGATTTTTTTTTCAGACATTTCATGATTAATACTAATAAACAGTCTCGATTGGATTGATGACAGCATGGACTAAACCAGATAAATTTTTAATTGGTGTAAAAAAGTGATGATCTTGCGGATGATCATGAATTACGTTTGCTTTTAAGACCCCCCCCCCCCCTCCTGCCCATTCTTTGTTGCATACAGAGTTGTGGGTTGGGGGGGGGGGGGGGGGGGTTAAAAATTCTTTTTTTTTGAAACGTAATTATTGAACAGTTCAAGCTTCATATCAGTTTTGGACGAACATTTGACGTCATTTATTTTACTGATTGCATCATGATCAGTCTAACTATTATTATCTTTTGGTGATAATGAATATTGTTCAGTAGTCAGATCGTTTTTTTCGTCATGGTCAAATGGTAGGAACATTCATTAATTTGCTATTAACGATTAAGCTTTTTTGTTCTACTTTTAGATTCTTTATTTCATTTAAAAACGCTAATGTCTGTCTGTCAAATCTAATGTCTGTTTTTTTTCAAATATTTTTTGATCGTTATTTTTCAAATACTTTATGACCGTTACTATTTAAAAAATAATTTTTGAAATTCTAAACCTTTTATTTTCGAGTTTACTAAGCAATTCAAAAATGCGCATTCTACATAAACTAGCAATAATTCTAAAGCTTAAAGCATTCACTTACCTTGACTTTTGCGTCGGTCTTTGATTGAATGACACGATACAATTTTTGGAGCTGGACCTGACTCGGCAACAGGAAAATCTCCGTTATTTTGAACATGTGACCAATCTCCTTTACGCTTACGACTGGAATCATGTGATCCAAGCAAGACAGCTGTACAAGACAAAAATAAAATTGATTCAAATTAATAATTGATTCACGTGAGATGAACATGACGACTTACTTTTGACGTAGTCTGCTGGCCATGCGTCTTTTGAGCTCGAGGGTGAATCTCCCAAATCGATGCAATATTTTGAGTTATTGCCGTTATTTGAATTGTTGTTATTGTTGCTATTATGCATATTATATGAATTTTCGTGTTCACTGTTGTAATATGATCGCGTTTGTGACTGCAAATGAATGAAATTAAAGAATCTGACTCGAATTTTATGCTAAATAATTTTTTTTGGAAATTGAAAAATATTTCTTGGAACTTAATCGCTCCACAAAAAATAATAAAAATCCCGCTTTCGTAATGATGAAGTCATTACTGTTTTGTATATTAATTTTTTGTTGATAATAAATAAATTCTAGTGAGAGCAATTTTATGAGAATATGAGAGAATATCCCTCAATATCACTCAAAGAGCTTTAATTCGCATTAACTAATTGTTTGGACCTCTTTTTGTTGTTTGTGTCTTTAAGTAAAACAGGCTGCGACGTCATCAACACGTTTGACAAGTGATTTTTGTAGAAATTACCATAATTCCGACATATTTTCGACGTATTCCTATTAATAACTTTCCCTTCAGAGCATATTATGTTGTGGAACATGTTTTTATCTATGCTGGAATTAATTAATTTTTACATAACGGAATTTGAAATATTTTTTGGTCATTTTCATCAAAACTCAATTCATTTTGGATCAATAAAACTTTCGAATGTCAAGCGAAAAAATATTAAAGCTTCTTGAAAAAGATCGAATCTTATCTTATCTTGATAGGTATGCACGCTTTTCAGTGATAAATGGATTAATGTGATCACTTTTGGATAGACTGGCTTGATTGAGTCTTTAGAATCATTTGTTTGACTTTAAGAATATTAAATTTATAAAGTTTATAATTTAACGGTTTTGAAAAATTTGAAAGTTATGCTAGATTTTTGAGCATCCGTTAAAATTTGAATTTTTGAAAATCGTCAAAGATTTTGAACATTAGATTTCAAATTTTAAAATTTCGTTGAAATAGAAATTCCAAAAATCCGTTAAAGATTATGAAATTCAGATTTAAAATTTGAATATCCGTTAACATTTAAATTCAATTTTATCCTTAAAAATCCAAAAAATAAGATTTACGGAAATCAAAATTAAGATTTTCAATCAACAAAATAGCACTCTCGAAAAAAATGCGCTTTGAACTTCCGCATCAAAGTGATCTTCCCTCTATCAGCTCTTAACAATTTTAATCTACGCGTCAGCAAAACAATAAAGATAAGCAATAAATAATAATTGTTTCAGTGATTGATTTACTAACTTGATGTTGCTGTTGATTTGAATTATGTTGATAAGTTGGATACTCGACACTGCTGTCACTAAATTCCATAATTTCTTCGTCGTCCTGATAAATAGATGCATCCAAATGACAATTACTGTGAAATAACCAGCCAAATTGGTCGGTAAAAGATGAAGCTGGTTGTGGAACAGTTAGAGCCGCCATTGGGGCTCGTCAATGAGATAAGTTGTAGAAAAAAATACTTTATTTTAAAGACAAAAGCCTAAAATCACAATTATTAGCTTTAGATATGTTGCGGAAGACACTTTAACTATCACAAATGCACTCTATTATGTTAATTTCAATTTTTAATCATTATCACTTTTTTTTGAATTTTTTTCAATTTTTTATGTTGATTTTTTTTTTTTATAAAATTAATAACTATATAAAATGTGTCCCTTATATTTGGTGATTTAGAAAATATATATTATTTAGTCTGTTCTGTTCTTATTCTCAAATTCGATGTCGTTAAAATTTGAAATAAAATTAAGAGTTTATAGCTCGCAACATAGTAATTAAAACATGACGAAGAATGAGTTGTACAACTTTTTAATTCCAATTTCCTCGCGTTGTCTGTGCGAAGAAAGTAATGTGTTTTCAATCGATAATAGCATTTTGTTGAGATTAAATTTGATTATTTCCTGTTCTCCCTTTTGACAAGTCGTCTCCATGTAGTTAATTTTAGTTTACACTTGTAGGCCACTTTTATAACTTTTATTATAATTTTGCAAACTTAATCAGTTCTTATGTCTTTAATCACTTTTCTATCTGTTTTTTTAAATCAGTTTATAAGTAGTTTTTTTTTGCTAGCAATCTAGTCTACAGCACTTTATCAAGTTTCGAATTGGTGAACTTACAACCCGAAACTTATGTTCTAACAAGAAATTTCAATACTTTATCCATATTTAAATGATGAGCAATAAAAGTTTGGATTTTATTTTTATTTTGCATAATTTCATGCTAATCTGATATTAAGAGTGATGCGAGAATCACCTTCTGTTACTATCCCAAATACTTATGTCTCAAATTTTTTTCACTTTTTCTTCTTTAAAATCCACTTGTTATCAAGTTTTACGGACACGTCGAAGATATTTTTTTCAAATAAGTGTGACTCGAATGAAGGCTCAAGTATTTCTGAGTTGATCGTTGTGTGGTGATAGAGACTCAACTCTCGGAGAATATTTCTTTTTTTTTTGTTGTGTAAATGTATGTGGGTCTCGCCTTAATTGATCGTTTTTGTCTTCTTATTGCTTTGCATTCGTCTCTTTTTATCATACATTTTTGAATTTAGAATTCTCAGCCGTACAGATTCTTTATCGCACTTTTATTTTGAAAATGTTTTGTTGCTGTCCACTCGAGAGTGATTTTCTCATCATCAGCTTTTACTTTATCATCGTCATTTAGCTGTGAAGAAATAATGAAAAGAGTAAATATGAGTTTGCGATTATTATTATTTTTTTTTTTTCGGGCAGCACGTCCTTGACAAAAATAGTATGTAGAAGAGCGGAGAGTAAAAATTTTCCGCATGAATTAATTTTCAAACTTTAACATTTGTCACGATTTTTCCATCATCACATGTTTGAGCATTCAATTTGCAACATTTTTCTTTTGTGTATTATCGCGGTTGTTCTAAACACGTTCTTTAAATTTGTTTTGTGTAGATTGTTTGTTCACTATTAAGAAGGATCAATGCTTTGTTTAGTGTTTGTTGAGTCAGCATTTAGCAAATTTAAGATTAGACGAATTTTCTAAAACTTTTTGAAAATTCCAGCCGTTATAAATTCATATTTAGTCGAGACACGTGTAATACGTTCAGTAATCTATTTCATATCATTTCAGATCAGAAAATAAAATTTAAATCATAAAAAACATTAGACATTCAAACATTTAGCCAAGACACATTCCGTCCGTTTAGTAATCCATCACTTCATTATGGTTCAGTTTATTTTTTGAATATTTTAAACTCGTTATCTTTTAGTCAAGACGCAATCATAATTTTATTTCATATTTTTTGAATTTCTGACAGCCGTTATATTATTTAATAAATTTATTTGACTTAATTTTAATTTCAAATTCTTATTATTTGCTTAAGAATACCTGGAAAAAATAAGGAATATATTGATTCTGAATTTGAGGTTTTGAACTTGTTCAGTGATTTAATCATGAATTTTAACTTTGCTCTTATTTACGATTTTTTACAATTTTGAAGAATAAAACTGACATTTATTCTTAAATCAGCCAGAAAGTAAGTAAAACAAACAACAACAATTAAACCTTCAAAAAACTTAATTTCAATTAAAATCATCAAAAAAAAAATTGTGGTAGATCAATTCAAATTTTTGAAGAATAAGTTAATTCAATTGCTTTAATCGTAGCACGGTGACTAAAATTTAAATTTTTTGAGTCATAAAACAGTTTAAAGCATCAACTTTATGAATTTCTTTTCGCATCGTAATTGATTTTAATTAAGAAAAGGGCAATTAAGTGAGGAATGGAAGGAATTTTTCTTATTCTTTATTTGCTAAATTAATTGGCGTTTTGTGTACACATCACTGAATATATATCATCATCCATGTCATGTCATGATTGAAAGTTTTGTACTATCTATTGAAATTTATTTGTTATTTGCTGTAGATTCAGTAAGTCGAAGTGTAATTTAGAAATTCTAAGTAAATCACACAATGACTGCATTTACTTGAGGATGATAAAGTCATGTAAATTTCAATTTCAAACAGAACATCGAACTTTACACTTGACTTTGAATATTGATTCTTATTGTTCCTTACTATCGTCATTATGGTGCAGTTTGCCCTAACCTATAAAGTTGACTCACTAGTTTTTTATTTGAATTTTATTAAAATTTATTAGTTTTTCAACAGTCATTAGATTTAATTGAGTCGATCAGCATATGCTCGAGCAGCAATGAAGACAAATTAATTAAAAACGATTGTCGCGATTTTATCGCTAATTTAAATGGCACTCACTTATTATTTATACTCAACAACATATATCATATGACAATTTTTGAAACATTCGACACCCTTTAAGCTATGAACAGCAAATACACACAACAAAGATTCATATACTCTCAGTCTCTCAATTTCATTTAAGTTTTTGAGGCTTTTCAATTTCAATTTCAATTGACTTTGATTAACATCAACAACAATATTCTTATTTTTATGTCATACAACATCTAAATGCTTCTGTTTTTTGTTGTAAAATGGAAGGAAAATGGGTAATCTTTCAATCAAGGACAAATATTAAATTGTCAATCTCGTAAACATGAATCAAATTTGTTTTCTATATGACCTGTGAATTATGCTTTCTTGGCATAGAATTAAGGTTGATTTTGAAAATTTTTGACAATATCCGTGATATAAATGGAAATGCAAAGTCAACCTTAAATAAGCTTACATTTAAGAAATTCTAAAATTAATTCAATTTCATTTCTAACCGAAATTTTGTTTTTAAATTTTTAAAGTTCAAAATTTGAACTTCCCGAATATTTGAAACTTAACGGGTTTTCCTCAAATATTTAAAAATTCCAATAAATAACTGACAATCATTGAAATGTCACATGTGACTTTACTACAACATTTACTACAACATTCATAACATATTTGGAGTCTCTCTTATCACAACAACAATATTAGTTTAAGTAGAAAAGAACATTTATTATGAGCTTTATGTTTTTTTTTGTCTATTTACATTAAAATTACATTGTTGATGACCTCAGCTACATAATTATCAGTAAACCAAAAGCCAAAGAAATGCATTATCATGAAATAACATGAAAGACTTCATAATGGTGATTCAAATTCTTGTTTGTATGAAATTTTGTTGTAGAACCTAAAGCACCATTGCTGCTTGTTAGATGATAAAAAACTCGTTTGGCGCGTGAATGAGTCAGAGCCATTGAGCACATTAAGCAGGGTTCATTAAGTAGATAAATTAAATAGCCAGTACAAAGGTATGGTCCGAATTTATGTAAATTATCAATGCTCGATACAGATTTTTCAAAATCAGACTCTCCAAACTCGACTGAGAATTTTTGTGTGACTTTCTCAGCAACTTCTTTATATCGTTTGTCATGTTCTGTTGACCAACATCCTCCATTTTGAGTGATTGCTACTTGATCTATTAAATCCATAACACAATGCATGATCGGATTAGTTTTCGTCTTTGAATATCCAAAAGCAACAATTCTTTTATTATAAGGATTAATCGCAATTCCAACATTATAGACATTAAGTTCTAATGAGATAAACCTGCAAATTTCAATATTCCTACGGTGATAATCAATATCTGACTGATTAAATACAGTATTTTTCCATAGACTTTCCAAATATTTGTTCTCATGAAATTTACACGGCCATTCTCGTGTTAATATCTCGAATTGCCAACGTAATATTGGTTGTGCTGTTGGAATCTTTACAATTCGTATTTCAGTCATCATTAGTTCTATGAGATTGTCATCGATATTCTTAGATTGAAGGAAGCTTTTAAGATTCTCAGTTTGCTGGATGTCGTCAAGAGAACAAAGAATAATCTCACTGTTGATGTTGACTCTCCTAACATAACTAATACAGTCTAGTGGTATTTTTTGATTTAATTCTATCATAAAAAGACTAGTTTTCTTCTTATCAATAATTTTGGCTGCGTAGTAGCTTCTACAATCAGGAAGTGTTGAAAATGTATCATCTAAAATTGATCTTATCTCGACTTTATCATCCAGTCTTATTCTTTTAGCATCACTCATGTCTGTAAAATAAAGAACAAATAATTAAATTTATGGCATGTGTACAGGGAATGTTTTTGTAAAAAAATATTCTACCTTCCACATCCATATCCAACATCAATAAGAGCGTCTGTTTGCTCGCAATCAACATAGACACTTAGTATTAATTTTGTTTTTTAAAAAATCTTTTGTAATTAAATTTATTATGAAGTTACTCAACAAATTAGCACTAATTTCTAAAAATAATATAATTGCTAATATTTCACAAATTGGATTTTAATGATAAGTAAATTCGTGAGTCAATAGCTCCTTAATATACAATAATGGTCGGAGGTCCATGGTATCTAATATTATGTTGGTTACCAATATCAAATTTAGCTTGAGGAGGAGAGTCTGGCGTTATGTGAAATCTTCATACAAAATACACCCCCCCCCCCCCCCCCCCCCCTCCAATTTTTTTAAACAAAAATCTTCAAATTAGAAAAATTATTAGCTATACAGCTGTTCATATCCACACGCAAATAGTCATACTTGATCTTACAGCATGTTTTTAAATTCAAAGAACCTCCTCAATATCTCTTAAAATATCATTAGGACGACAGTAAGTTCGTCACAACGAAAAAACAAACAATTCATTAGTAATTAGTGATAAGAATGGGATTTTCAGGCTTCACTTTCGTTAGAAATTTACATAGATTATTCGTAAACAAGAAAGTCATCAACAGAGACAAATAAACAAGGTATGACGTCACTAGCTGATGATCTTGAAATGATTCCTTTTTTGACATTGCAATTATCTCGGGGATTTCTTTTTCTCATCTTTCTTTACTCTATGCGTGTCATATGATTGGAAATTTAACAGTATTAAGGAACAGCATCTCGTGATCATCAAAACAATTTAAATTCGCGAAGATATTCATATAAAATGTAAAATTTAATGACTTACTTCATTTAATTTATTGTGACTTTAATAAAGTCTCGTTGTATAAATGTTAAAGTGCTGTTTCGGAAATCTCAAGTGTTTATAATGTGTATAGAACTCTATAAATATTTAATTAAACTTTTTATTTATTTTTTATTTTGCAGGTTATGTCACCTCTTGATGAAAATCTGTTTAAAAATTAAAAGTCCGTTATTTTGGATATGAATTAATCTGAAAGTTCCACTACTTCTTGTTGATCATTTTCTACATGTTCATCCTCAGAATCACTCTCGTTGACCATTTTGAGCCGATCCATAAGCTTCCTCGCTGGATTAAAAACTCCACTTGTCTGTGCTGAACATACAAAGCATCTTGTTGTCTTTTTGAACCTTTCTAGTGCACATTTCTCACAGAAATAATGATTGCATTTAGTCATGATTGGATTCTCAAAGCTCTTCCTGCATATGAGGCACTTGAACGGTAAATCATCTTCATCGCTGTGTATTTCGTACTTTTTATCATCGTCATCAGAATCACATTCATGAGTCCTGCTGTTCTTTGCTCGTTCCTCGAGTTCTAGTTGCCATCCATACTTAAAATCTGTAAAACATATCTCATTAATTATAAGTATATTATAGCTATAGAACCAAATAACTTACCACTTCGGTCATGCAAGAATTTACAGCTGTCACCAAATCCACAAAATCCAGTTTCTTTATAATCTTTACAAATGTCTGGCTGATAATCCCATCTTACAGTACTTCGGAGATTCGTTGGAGCTCTCATTGGACCAACACTATTGATTCCTGAGCCTGCATTTCCTGCTGCTGTGTCCTTTTTCTTATAAAATTGAGTATAATTGTTCATGCCTCGATAAATCTTGTCGTCTGCCTTTCCTTCTAGCTCTTTATTGATCTCAATACTTTTCTTAAATAAAGCTGTTGCATCTCTGTCAACGGATGTTTCAAAAATAACTTCAGCAGTAGCTCCTTGGTCTCTAGGTCCATCCGATTCTGCTAATCTCTTAGACTTGTATTTTACGACAATTTCTTCGTCTGATTCTTTATTTGATTCACTGTCACTACCCTTTTGCTTCTTAGCTTCCTTTTTACTGACAGTAGATGAATGAAAATTGGGATTATACCTCTTTTTATCAGGTCTTACAACTGAGCTGGATGTTTTTTCGTCATTTTCTGAGCTATCTTGCTTTTCTTCGTCTGATGACTGCTTTCTTTTACGTGCAAACTTATTTTTGATGCTTCTTTTTGCAAATCCAGATGATTCCGACATTATTGGATGTGGTTTTATAACTTAATTAAATAAATTTAATAATTTTGTGAAAATTTTTGATTGTAAACAAAAGATTCAGTGATTCTCAAAATGTTTGCTGAATTCAAATTTCTTTTAACCGTTAAAATTAGAGCACGTGTGAAATTTGAATTTAACGGTAATCTGAAAAAAAATAATTAAAAACACGTGAAATTTTAGAACATTTTGAAATCAAAACGAAAGAATTTTTATTTTAATCTTCCAAAGCTTTTTTCAAGTTTGCGCTATTCAGGCATTTTTCATTAAATTTTTGCATCTTCAAGAAGCACTATATTTTATGTTGTAAGCATTATTATCTCTCATATCTCATTCTTCACATCTCAGGATGGAAAATCATTTCAGTTTAGGCTCATTTCTCGATTATTTTAAATTCATGAATTAAGTTTTTAAAAAAATACAACTTATAGGTGGGAATATAAATTAAATCATTACACTGTAGTTTAAAGGAACACAGAAAAAAAATATATAATTTTGAGCTCTAAGTTAACAAATTCAAAATCAATGTGTCAAACATTAAAAGGATATCTGGTTGTTTATGCTTCTATGTTGACGAAATAATACTTGTTTCCTTTTTATAATCGTAAATATGAATATATAATATTATTAATTTTTTTTTTCAATTCATTTCATAGCAGTCAGGTTGCATGCTGCATGCAATCAATTCAATTCAATTTACTCAATCAATCCGCGACTATAAATCTCATTTAATTGAGTTGTCAAAAATCCATTCGTTTTATCAATATGTGTTGCATTAAGACTCGAGTTACTGCTGCTCGTACTCAATGATGATGTGGCTGAATTGCCATTTGAATCATCCAGGCGAGAACGGGATGTTGATAAAGGTTTTTGTAATTTTTGAGTAGAATTCTTATTATTTGATCCATTTACAGCTGACTTTACCAGCTGTGGTATTGTTCTTTTGAACGGTGTCTTGACATCACATCCGCGACTTATATTTGTTGAATTTAAATTTCTTATTGGTGTCATTTTTGGATGTTCGATCTTTGTCGATTTCATTGGTTTTGATGATGTTCCAGTTGACGGTGGAATGGAAGAATTTTTAATTTGAGAATTGGGCGTTGTCGTCGTTGGCTTAATTGATGACAATTTGGTATATACTGACGATATTTGAGTCTTACTTCTTGTTGGAGATGATTTGATTGTTATTGTAGGAATTTGCTTAGATTTTGTTTCGTCGTTTGGTGATCTAAGGGGTGAATCCAATGGGCTGTCATGAAAAAAGGTTTAATTAGTCTAATTAAAATCTGTTCAGGAAAAAATTCATAAAAATCAAACAAAACCAACGAAAGATCAAAAGCACATTAGGAATTGATTAAAGCATAAAGAAAAACCATGCAAAATTAGGATGTTGTCATGCATAAGTTCTGATTAGCGTTTTAGCGGTTTTTGAAATTTTGAATTTTCCCGCAAAATTTACAGCATAAAATTTAAATTTCAAAAAACCGTTAAAATTTGAATTTGTGTTAAGCGGTTCTTTGACAAAATTTACAGCATAATATTCAAATTTCATAAGACCGTTAAAAGCTTCCTAATAAGCAAATGAAAATGGAACATCCAAAAAATATGAAGCTGGCAAATTACAGTTCAATTTACCTAATTCAACTTTGTTGAAGAAGGCATGAAAATGAAAATCAGTCGGTTATCAGTCTTGTCAGCAAATTTAGACACATGATTTTGTAAGGATATATTATTTGCGTAAAATTCATGCTCGATATAAGGTCAAAATATCAACATGGTTTATAGACCAAATGTAATAACATAATCAAATTTATAGCACACAATAACAGAATTGCCAATAACATATCACAAATATGTACCTGTCCAACATTAAGACGGCTTTATCGATAATTTTTTTAAATTTTTTTTTTTCGTAGTCGCATCAAAGATTGATTTTAATGAAATTGCATTAAACATAATGTTTTAGCATAATTAAAAAACATTTATACAAATCCAATTGATATTTTTTTGGGGATAGCAATTAGCAGATAATTGATGAGTGCATGAAAAAACGAGAAATTTTGTCATTAGTTAAAGTTAATCATTGTTAAATTACGATACAAATTAGTAAGCCTGTTAATTATATTAAAACAAATTTTAATCAACATTTTACGACATGAATATGAAATATGATAAATTCGATTCTGAAGGAGCATTTTATAGGATGTCAAGTACCAACATGTAAAGTTGTAAGGATATAAAAAGTATTGATTATAAATTGAATTAGATTCACTAGCTAAAGTAAGCTGATTATCACAAATTGAGTCGTTAGCACATGACATAGAATCGAAAGATTTATTAAACATAATTTTGGATATGACAATGAGCGATTGAGAGAAATAAATTGGAATATCCATAGAGGGTCTCTTCCTGTGAAAGATATATTTTTCATTGGTTTGGTTGGTTGTTGTTTTCGTTGGATGAAGTTTTGGGAGTCAATTACTATATAAATTAATTTTGTTCAAGCATTCAAATTAATTAATTTGTTCTTACCTCGTAAAATCTTGACCCATCGACATTGGTCTCAGCTGGAATTGAAATAAAAGATTTAAAAATATTAGTTGAATGTCAATTTTAAAGTTAAAGTTTGAAGATTCTGTTGGAAATAAGCTTTGGTTTTCTTTAATCTAATGGATCAAACTTGGATATAAGTTAATCCGAAGGATTCAGCTCTGATTTAACTCACCATTTAAGATTAGATTTATTTTAATCTCATGGTTTAATTTAATCCGAATTCTAATTTTGATATTTAACTCGAATGAATTGAAATTTCAAAATTTAAGCTTGGAATATTATTAATTTTATAAATCTCTCTGAAGGGGGGTTACCATATTGAAACAAAACTTGACTTTATCAAAATTACAAATCCAATCAAGCTAGCTAGCTCAAACTAGACAGTAGCTTTCTCTCATATGTATCATTAAACATGAATTAATTAAAAACAAAATTAAGTACATACCCTTTCAGTCTGTGTTGCACAATTTACAGTTTCAATATTATTATTTTTGGAATCTTGTGCGGTTGCATTTGTGTCCAAAGACTTAATTTTCTCTTTTTCCATCTCCTCTAATTTTATTTGTTGCTGCTTAATTACTCGATCTTTATCGTCCATTTGACTCTGCATGAAAATAATAAGAGAAATTTATCAGCACATGATTATCGGGTATTAAAAGAGTCTTTTTTTGAAACTTTAAACATTGGAATCAGAGTTGAATTATTTTGAATTATCTGACAAAGGAACTAGTCTAGAGTTTGCTTACTAGCAAATGTCAGAAAACCAGCTAGAAACCTTTGTGAAGTTCACTTATTACGATACTTAAAAATATTCTAATATCAATAGAAATTTTGTATCAATTTGAATGTAATAAGAAAACTCATTTGCAGACAAATCATTAAAATAACTCTGATTATGCATCATGCAAAATTAATCAAGATTTAACTTATGATTCCATGAAATATAGATGATACAATGGAGTAAAATAGAAATAAATCAATAAATTGATAGGGAAAGAATTGGATCATACAATCTAAGGTGACAGAATTAAAACTGTAGGTTGAAAGATAATCATGCATGATTCGCAGAACTGAAGAAATAAGCAAAATTACAGAGTTCGAATTCGACTAAATGTTTGTATAAAAAGGTCAAACTTTACTTAAATTAAATTGTCAACTTCGAGCTCTGCAAAAAAGATTCTGAACACTAAAGCGCATATTTGTTATATATCCAATTAATCAAAAAAGGAGAATTGCTGGACATATTAAGCAAAAAGGAGAATTGATGAACAGATTTAAACAAATTTTTCTTTTTTGTTTTTTTTTTGCGCTCAAAAAAGATTGATAGAAAGTATAAAACAGCATAAAACTATAAAGTAAAAGTGAAGAGATATGCATGATGGAGTAGATTAAAATCAAGCAACAATAATAATATTACTTTGTTCTATTTCATCCATTGTATACATTTCATTTCATTTTCATTCGATTATTGAAAAACGATTTGAATTTTTTAAAAAGAAAATGAAAAAGAAAAACGAAATGAAGAGAAACAGATTTTATAGATATTTATGTATTATTTCTTCTCTTAAAAATAATTAGATAATAATTGCAGTATGAAAATTTCAATTTCAAGATTGATTAAATTTTCATAGCCACTGATGCTGTTAAGAAGAACAAATCAAGTAATAAATTAAAAAGAAATTGAATTTCACTGATTTTTAAGCACGAACCTTAAAAGCAATAAAGCAGGTAATAAAACTAGATTTTAAATAACTTAGTGAGAACTTACCTGAAGAAAAACAACCTGTCTCTTTAAATCAGCAAGCTCTTGTCGTTGATCCTCCAATAAAATAATTTGTTCATTTGTTAGCACCACATTTTTCTCATCGTCTTTTTTCTCTTTATCACTTCCGGTTATCTCAGCATCGCTGGCTCTATTCAAGTTACTGAAGATGTGCCCATTCATTTCAAACGGGTTGAGAGTATCAGACTGAAAACAAGGCATTAAGAAATTTAAGTTAATTTATAGTGTTGCGAATTAGAATCACGGAGTTAAAAATAAGGCACATAAATAAATAATAATTATAAGTGACATACCATCATCAATTTATCTTCATCCTTCAAAACGTGATTTTTTTAAAAAATCAAATAAAGGTTTGACATCAAATGAAATGACATGGTGCAAGTTAAATTATAACGAAATTAGACACAGCAATGAAAACATAAAGTCGTGAAAGAAATAATATTAATTAAATTACAACAAAAAAATATTAAGCACAAACTAATATCAACTTTAAAGTCACTCACTTCTTGAAGAATTCTCCTCAACTGTACAAGTTGCTTTTTAAAGCTCGCAACATCTTGCAGCATAGAATTTCTAAATGATTTATCCACTAACAGATCTTCTGTTGATGAGTGTTCTAGCTGTGATTGTAAATTAAGATGTTGCCGTTGCTTCAAATGTTCTCTTAACGACGCTCGAGCTGAAGTTGTTCGTATGCTGTCCAAGGAACGTGGGCTTTCAGATCCATTCAATGGTGATGTATTAATATTGTTATTATTATTTTGTAGACGTCGATTAAGTAGACGAGTGGCTCTGAGAGGCAGTTGAGATCTATACATAGTGAAAAATAAATTAAAGATTAAATGAATAAGTAAGCTTCCTACTCTACCAATAAGAGTTATGTGTAAAAATAACGGTCATAAAATATTTGAATTTTTACACATGAAAGTGTATTGGGGGCTCTCGATTTGAATACTTTGTGTAACGGAAACTTTTCATATAAAGTGTAAACAATTCGATTCGAATGGATTTTTCCACAACAAGGAAACTTTTCAAATCGAGGACCACCGAATATGTTGAATTATAGAGGTATCGGCGTGGTGAATTAGAGAGGTTCACACATTTTATTAAAAAAATGGAAAAAAATTGAAAAATCATTAATTAAAACATATTAAGCTATGAAACATATGTAATATTGTGAAGGAAGCAATAAAGTGTTGTGTCAAATAATCGAAAATAACAAAATTATAGTGAAAATAGGAGAAATTTAAGAAAAATAATTTCGTTCTAGAAAAAAATGAAAATTGAGAATAAAAGGATACTTTAAAAGCTTAATTATAGTGTTTTGAGAAGTAATAACAAGAAAGTAATGGAACGTGCTACTCGTGGACGACCTAAAAGGTCTCGCGGTCGCGGTAAAGGCAAAAGAGGTCGTAAACCTCGACAAGTTTTATCGGAAGAAGAAGAAAACGAAACAGTACAACAAAATGAGGAACAAGATCCAGTGAAAGAAGAAGTAGATACAGAAATGGTGAATATAATAGAAACGAAATCGCCGACAAATGAAACTGCCGAGGAGAATTTACCAATGGAAGCTGCTCAAGAGGTAAATTCACTAGCTTATGCTGTATATTTACATTATTAAGTTACATAAACAATTCTGTCTGTATCTTTTAAGGATGACATATCTCAATTGGAACTAGAATCACCGTCATTCACAATGATGCAAAGAAATGTCCCACAACAAGTTATGTTGCGCTTAAACTGGGATCACAGAGTGAATTTAATTAGTGAAAAAGTTTTAAGCCCAATGATTTATGTGTGCGATCAATGTGATAAGCCAATATTAATATATGGCCGAATGATACCTTGTAAGCATGTATTTTGCTTAACATGTGCTCGGACTGAGTCTAAAGAGTGTCCAAGGTGTAAAGATAAAGTGTTACGTGTAGAACAGACAGGCTTGGGGACAGTTTTTATGTGCACACACGGTGGAACGAGATATGGACGTGCTGGATGTAGACGAACTTATTTATCACAGCGTGATTTACAAGCACATATTAATCATCGACATATGCCAGCACCTCTTCAGGCAACTTAGAAATTTATAATAACATTATAGGAATTAAGACGATTCAAGAGAAAAGAATTAAACAAAAAAAAAAAATAATTAATTATTTTAACAATTTTACGACTGATAATGAAAGAAAACCTCATAATTCCACAATAAACTTCATTTTAGAGAAATTATTAAGATGTGAAAAAAATTAAATAATAATTATTTGACTTGATTTGTGGATTTGTAAATGGCAGTTTCAGGATGACAGGAGATTAAACATTAAAAAAAATCATCATTATTCATCGACGCACTCACTTTTAACACACATAACAAATTGACTGACGATACGCAAACAAAGTAGTATGGACAGCATTAAAACATATTGGAATGATTTTTATATAGCAATGGAATAAAGTTAAAATGAAAAAAAAAAATGTTCTCTCTACAAATTTATTGTACTTTAATTCCTTCATATAAAATAATACTACTTTTCAGACGTAAGAATGCTTGTACATGACGTGCTTGAGCAATGTTCAAGATAGGAAAAAATCGATAAAGTTTTCAATTTCATTTTATACAAGGAGCTTTGATTTCCTCAACTTATAGTTTCTTAAAGCTACTTTATTAGGCTTTGGTAGGGTGAAGTGAATCTTTTAATGTATAGAACAGACACGTTTAGGCTCTTTTACTTTAACTTAAATAGATCATACTTATAAAGGATTAGTCAAAATTGAGTTTAAACTTTGACTTTAGACTGCTTACAAGCGATCTGAGTTCGATAAGAGAAAAAAAATAATTTCTGAGTGCTCTTGTGAAGTATATAATTTCTATAAAATCTTAAGATCAGAATTACATACTTCACAAATGCAATCAGAAATCACTTTTTAAATTTTTTTTCTGAATTCACTTCGCTTAGCTTACAGCTACAGACACAAGATATATAAATCTATCATTAATGATTGATTTCAATTGTTTTATATCCATTTATTGCTATTTTAAGAGATGAATGATTTTTTTTTTGGCAAATTGTAATGAAAAATTTCACCTGAACGTTGCAGTGTTGCCAATTGTTCGTTTATTATTGTTATCGGATTGCTTAATTGTATGACTTTTTTTCGATGGTAAATTTGGTGAACCGGAACGAGATCTCAGTTGGATATTTTGCAAAAATACATTTTCGGATGTCTGTAAGTCAGTTTTCATTCTACGCGTATTTAATAATGGCGAAGTCAATGGATATGCTGAGCATGCCTCTTGACTGTTTTCAGTTACTACCGAAATCATAACCTTTTCCTTGCTATAAACTTCTTATCTACACTTGATATATTTTTATCGCTAAATTAATTTTTATCATTGAATGACAGCTCAAATGTTCACGCTTATTGTATTCTGATGCGTTGTCACTATGTTTTATAATATTAAACTAATGTAAAAGGCACTTCCTTCTTGCAGATTTATAATTCAACAGGAGAAATTACAAACAACTTGCGAGCCAGCTAAATTCTCTCAATTTTTGTTTTTTCTCTCTCTCGTCAACAAAACTTCTGGCACGAAATTGTCATTTTTTCAGGCAATTTAAAGCGCATTTCTTTTGAATTGACGTTTATCTTTGTCATCGTGATATTTGAGTTGCAAAAAAGGAATGATTAATTAAAGTTCGCTAAACATATCTCTTAAATTCAAAATTTAACGACTTTCTAAAATTCAAAATCTGTGCTAAAGATGCGAAAAAGTTTGCATCACTTTATTTTTTTCTTTTCAAAATTTATAAAACCGTTGAAATGTTAAAATTCTTTGTAGAAAACAAATTTTAGTTTTATAACATTTCCATGTATTATTAAAGTCATTAAGAATTAATAACGATTCTATTATTCAAAAGAAACAACTGCCCCAAAAATTCCACTGAACCAGCTTAACAACAGCTGAGCTTTAAATTACCCAATGAATTTTTCATGCGTAAGTATTTATGTAACTTTATCAGGCATAGAACTCGAAGAGACATCCATTCCGTAAAATTGAAAATTAATTGAATGAAATACAACTAATCTATTTTTCCCTATAAATTTACGAGCTCTCATGTTTCTTTAAGAATTTTCTGCTCGTTCAATATTGACAAATTCGCTCAGAACACAACTGCGCAAAGCAACTGAAATGTGTATAGTCTTAGCTATAGTTCCATCTTAAAGAATGGAATGCTTTTATGGAGAAAATTTTATGGATCAATTACAACTCTATTAGACAACAACTTTCGTTTCGGAATATTTTTATGATCTTTTTGAGTCATTGTTTTAAAAGGGAGTCGGGGAAGGGGGGTCTAGACATTTCAAATTGGTACATATAGAATAAGTTTGTAAATTCTTTAAAGCCAAACGAAACCCTTAAAAAGAGGTGGGGGTGGGGGGGGGGGGGGCTACTTTAGGAACTTGCAACTTTCTTCACTAAAAGAATCAATCACACATAAAACCTCTTTTTGCCCCTCACCCTTCATTCTCACAAAATCTTAGACCCCTCCCCCTAATAGCAATAATCGAATATCCCCAAAATACACCCCTGACACACAATAGCATTCAAAGGCTTCGCTGATATCTTCATTCATGTACATTAAGCTTTGTAAAAATAAAAAATAATGGTGTGATAAGTCTTTAAAGTTTCGTACTTATTGTTTCTTGAACTGAAGGACTTACTTTATTCGGAGACATTGGTGATGTCGTTTTCAAACAAAAAAACTAGTTAATGAGATTGACATTTGAGTGCCTTATATCGGAATTTCTGAATATCATTACAGATGATGATATCAAGCATGTGAACAGCTGAATATTTCCAGTTTTGACAACAATAACAAAAGAAGTTTTGGACCCAAAAACATTCTCAGAATAATTTTGTTTATCGACGTCAAGGCTAAATTTTTGAATTTAATCTAGAACCACGGAGCTATGAATTTTTTAAAATGAAGCTTAATTTTTATCGCTTTGTTACGTCTTAATTAATTGGTTACGTCTTACATTATTTTTTTTCAAGATCATGGCGAGAATTATTGTGCAATGTGACTTTCTAAGTAAATGATTAAAAAATAATAATTAATTAAGCAAGGTACTTTTTAGAGCATATCATTTGATTCTGCTCAACCGCGCAAGAGTAATTTTTGCCAGTTTGCTGAATAATGTACATGGCAGGCAGTGGCAACAGAACATAAAATTACATTTAATCCAAAAGAATGAGAAAATTGCTTAACGGAACTATAAAGAACAGCCTCGGAAAAGCCTTGAATGAATGGGACATAAGAAGAAGTTGTTGACTTTTAATGGATATTTTCACATACAGTGGATTTTTAATGAATTCTTCAAGAATGTTGACCGGTGTGGAATTCATCCAAAACTGCGCAAGCAAGACAATTAAGTGCATAGTTCAAGTAACAGACAACAGTTCCACAATAATTTCTCAGAAACTTAAAGGTTGAAGAAATTTATAAAGTTTAAATGTCTCTTTTGAAAGTTTTTAAAGAGTGTGCCAATGAACCTTACTAAGACTTTTGATAGAGGCATGAGTGTAGCTAGACTTGGGGATTCAAAAAGTGTCCTGAAAATTCTTCAGACTTGGAAATTCTAAAAATACGTTTTTGTTATATGAAAACATTAATCGTAAGAACGACTCTAGTAAGTTCCATTAGCACACACCGCTAAAGTTCTTTATCTCAACTACTAAATCAAAATTTACCCATTCACATCCACAAGAGAATAGTTTTCCGTGTCATCGTACGATAAGTGATCATCTGTTGATGTAACAGATGTTAAACTGTGGGAATCACAATCTTTCATTATTCTTGCATTAAGCTCCACTTTTTTAATGTGTCTATTTTAAAAGAATAAGCACAAAGACTTCTTTCTTCTGTCTTAAAGGTCAACCTGAATTTAGTTCAAGCTCAATGAAAAAAATTCATCACATTTCACTGTCTAAGTCTAAATATTTATTTACATTAGCGACTCAACGATTGAAAATTGCTCGTTAATTTATTTTTTATTATTGTAAAGCACTTAGGAATAATTAAAAGTAATAAACGTTGATTTTTCTCTTATTTTATTTTTTTTGTTAATTATCGCAACTTTTTTGAAGTTTCTCTTTTTTCACTCAATTTATATTAAATAGTTGTTATTACGGCGCGATCTTAAACTAAACTAAAGCAATACAGCATTAACAAAAAAAAATAAAGCTTTGTTGTGTTTTACTTTTTTTCGTTGTTTTTTCGAATACAGTTTCTTTTGCTTTATGCCGCGATGAGCGATTAAGTTGGTATGTGTTAAAGCGTGATTTTTCTGTATTGCCACTGCAGTGCTGTTATTGTTTAGATGTTTAGCTAGCGACGATCGCTATGCGTACACAAAAAACATTAGAGTTTGGTTATTCATTCAACATTTCGAGTCTCTTTTATGAGCAGTCAGCATGTTGTTAAAATTGAATGATGTAGAAATGTGTGAAAATCGTTTTGAACATGAGCGGGTGTTATGCAGCATTGCATTCGTTTTGGAAGAGAATTTTTAGCATTTTTAATGAATTCATGTTTTGTAAACAAAACTATTTAAGGGAAATTGAAGGAATTATATAAAACTTTATTGAATAGTTTTGAGCTAAAATATTGATGGATTACAACTGGTTCGTTTGAGAAGTGCATTAGGGAAGTTAAGTAATGTTGAATTGAGATGAATGGGATCCAATTAGCTTGATGAATTACAAAATAAATTAATTTGTATTAATTTGGTTCTTAATCAGTGTTTCGTAAATTTTATTGGCTGGTTGCACACTAAACCAGAGTTGCGATTCAGTTCGTAAGTCTCAGGCACAGATCTGTTAAATGTGTGGGCATATGCCTGTGACAGATCGCAACTCTGCACTAAACGCAATTTTTAAGATTTGACGGAACACTCAATTCTGTAAACATTAGGTTTAAGCTTAATTTAAATTTAAACAGTAGCCAAGATGTGTCTAAAGTCATTTTGGATTTTAAAAAGTGCTTATTTTAGCCTTAGAATGGGAAACTGGAGGCAATTGCATAGAAAATCAACATAAACACACATGAATAATGAATTCTCTAATTTTTCACGGCACATTAGGTGTCTCGGTATGCAGTTTTAGAGCCACTGTTCTATTGTGTATCAAACTTAGTTCTAATTTCTATTAAACTAATAATAATAAGAATTTACTTCAAACATAACCTGAAAGTAAACTTAATCACGACTTCCTATCTAAAATGGGCATGTTGGACTTGCCTCAAAGCTTTAAAATCAGAAAACAATTGAAAACTCAAAGTGAATTGCAGGATAAATGATCATTAACATGTTGAACGCATTTTACTTCTCAAAAAACTCCAAAAACCCAAGATATATAGATGGGCTCATACAGAGTATACTTGACCATACTCGACCATACTATTTTTTGTGTACTTATACAAACAAAAATTTTCTATTTTCAAGTTTTCATTTAAATATCGACAGATGCAACAACATTTGACTTAAGTCAGTTACTTTAAATTATAGCAAAGCATTTGCAATACTCCTGTATCAACAAAACTTAACAGAAAGTTGAAAATTTTGCAAAACAAAAATTGAAAATTTTCTTTTATAGTGTTAGTGTTTTTAGAAAATTCAAATTTTTGACGTTTAAAAACTGCGATATTTTTGTATGAGCACATCTATATATCTTGCAAAAACCAAACAAAATTCTAAAAACCTTGCATCAAGAACCACCTTTACATTTGGCATCACATCAACAATTCAACAGTAACATCATAATCGAAATGTAGAAGAAAAAAAAGTTTAATGTTGTCGATGAAATATTGACATAGACACCAACAATGAACCATTAACGAACTTTATTTTTTGTTTGTTTTCTTCATGCCTTTCTACCCATTCACCACATTTTCGTAACATTCTTTTCATAAATAAAAATAATCTACAATACTAATGCAAACTGCACTTTTTCCAAACAAGCAGTGATGAAATGGAGAAAAAAAGTCAATTGTTTTCAGTCAGAAGGAGGGAAAAGAATTGAGAAAAAAATCAGGTCGATGGCATTAAACAATTTTTTTCAAATAAATTTTTCGTTCCATTCCGTTGGGCTTTTTCGCAACTTGCCGAAAAAAAAAGAACCGACAGTTGAAAATGTTATGTTATCATCATGATTTAAATGGAAAGACGACATTCCAATATTTTTTTTAATGCAGTCAAAATTGTAACATAACTTTCGGCATGGCAACGAGGAAGTCATAACAAAAAAATTACCTCATTCAAAAAAAAACATAAAGGAACAAAAAAATCAATAAGTTTACTCACGTGATATTTTCACGGCTACTGTGTCGGCGATGAACGCCTGGTTGTGTTTTAAAAAATGCTCCATATTCCTTCTTTCGGTCACTATTAAATTTATATTCTGTCTCAGATTGTGCATAAACATCGTCAACAGATCGCTCATGCCTAAACATACACATTGTAAAGTAAATAGTAAGTAATGATGCGTAAATAATTGAGCATAACGTGTGCTACTTTATATTAATTTACTGTGTCCTACCTTTCAATTGAGTCAAGACTGCTATTTATATCGAAATCTGCCATCAAATCATCAGATGCAATTGAGTCGCATGGCGATAATGTATCAAGTGATCCTGACCTTTCCATAATCACTTTTCTATTCATAGCCGGCGATGATTGACCGCTGTTTATTGTTTTTAATGCATGCATATGAATTCTATTTAATGATCTTAATGATCCATGTGAATTTACGGATATATCTCTTAATGTTGGTGTGGTACCATCTGTGGATGATAAATTCATTGCACCGGATATATAATCATCATGATGAGATAATGATTGGTTCTGTTGCTTGTTATGAGACATCATTAGAGCTGGTTGATCAGCAATTTCATCATCAATTAAGAAATCATCACGACCGACATCATCGGATAAGCTTAACGAGTTTGATGCATGTGTTGGAGTTCCTGGACTTGGGAGATCATCTAATTCTGGCGTAATATCCTCTAAATCTTCTTCTTTAATTTCATTAATCGTTTTTCTTTCTTTAACTTTCTTGATTGGGACATCACCGGACTCTGAGCTACTTACGAGGCTGTCCGATGGAGATGTTTCATCATCAAGTAATGCTGTATTTTGGGTAGCGGCAATTGTTTCCGCAAATTTAACTTCATCTACTTGAATAAATAATTCCTTACGACTAATTGAGCCCATACGTGGCTGTTGTTGCTGTTGGCTCTGCTTCAAAAATGCGTCATTAACAATCTCTTTCTCATCTTTTGATGGAGAACTGCTTGAATGTTCAGCCGTAATTGTCATTGAGCTCAACTCATCCTCATCACAGTCAATATCTTTCTTTCTTGTACAGCATGATTGAGTATTATTATTATTCTTGTTTCTATGATCCTCATCGCTACTATTCAAACTACCACTAGTGGAATCTTTAAGAGCCATTGACTCACCACAATTATTACCTGCCGACCATGATGATTTTGATTTTATTGATCCAGTCGAGGAATTTTTGCTACTTAAACTTTGTTTCATAATTGCACCCTAAAAGAGAATCCAGAAATAATCAATAATTTATAAGCACAGACATGAATTTGATTAAAGGAACTTACTTTATAACTCTTTTCCGACAAGCTATTATCCATTTTCAACTTCTCCTCCTCATAACTTTCAGCCTCAGAAGTTGTTGAGATGAACGATATCGGACGACTTCCACATTCACTAATACTCATTGACATATCCATTTCATTATCTGTTGAATAACTAGTTGTACTTCTTATCAAGCCTTCAGTGACAATCTCTTTACGGTCAGTTGGCAATCTTGGTAATGACAATGGAACTATGACACTGTCTTCATTATAGTCATTCAAATCACGAATCTCAAACTTGTGTCGACTTGGTCCTGGAACCATTTCGAATCGACGACGAGATCTTCTCATTAATGATGTTTCCATTTGATTCTGATGATTATCAGACGTACTGTCGTGACTTGCTATGCCTGAATCTAATGACTCATCTCTGCTAAAAGTAGATTGAAATAGAAATAAGCATGTAGAATGTTTGTGGATTTGATTTGATTGGTTTAGGCGCATTTCTGTGAAATCTGAATCTTTTAAATTATTTTTAAATTTAAGGTTTCGTGTTTTTTAAAATGTTAAAAATTTAACGGATTTTCGAAATTTAAATTTTATGAATTTCAAAAAGTTCAAAATTTAACGGTTTTTTAATAAACTTCAAATCCCATTATTTTTAAAAACTATTTTGTAGATTTGAAATATCAAACTGTCAGCATCACTGAATTTTCTGACGCATAAAAAGTCAGCGAAAATAGACAACATCAACATCGCATTTGATTTTATGAAAAAATACGCTATTAGAAAACAAATAAGAAGCATCTCAAAATCGATTCGATTTGCGGAGATGTGGGACAGAAAAATCACGATTGCGACAAAAATAAAATATAAAATCAGTTAGAATTATCTTACCGAGTCATCATTCCACCTCTCTTATTGAGATTAGCTTGAGTCTTTGCTCCTTTCGTATCGATTAATTTACTTTGTACGGAATGTAATGGGCGAGTGCTGTTTGGCGAGTATGTTGAGTTTCGCGAGAAACTAGGATAACTTGGCGCAACAGAAACTGGAACTGGATATTGTGGACGTGGTAAGCTTGTTGAATGTAATGTATATCTTGAAAGTAAAATTGGTTGATTTGCATTGCCCGTTTGCGATGTTGACGACAACGTTGATGTAGGACGAGAAGCACTAAATTGAAAATAAATAGAATAGATACATACAAATCAATCATCGTGAGCTTTATTTATCTTACTTTATGTTGGCGTTCTCCTCATTCTGTTGCTTGATAACTTTTTGCTCTGACTGCTCAGCAATCGTTTTCATTGGATTTATTTCAGACTTTGAAGAGGCTTGTGGATTGACATTTGAGCGTAATTGAGTTGTTGTTGGTGTTGCGCTTTTGGAACGGCGCTGCTTGTCAATTGTATTATTACTATTATTATTATTCACATTATCATATTCATTAAATTTCGGTGTGATTCCGCTAGTCGGACGTACAACATTCTGTCTGAATCCAAAACGATTACTTCTTCCAACCAACATCTGATCTCGTTTTGCTGGTTGTAATTTTGCAGGCGATGTTGTTCTTGCCGTTCCAATTTCTTTATCGTGGATAGTTTCTGTTAAAAGTGAACTTGTGTTAATAACCATTTTTTAACAGTAGTTTTTTTGACATTTAAGATAGAGTAACAGTAATTAAATAAACGAATTAAAAAGAACTTGACATTAAAGAATTAAAAAGCTTGTAATACAATTTAAAATTGTTTTATCGCGATAACTCATTTTTTTTGTGAGTATATTAATTTTTATTTATGAGAACAAGAGACAAATAATGAGAAAATAAAGGCATGAATGAATGAATTAAATGTCAATGAATGATGTCTCATTGTGATTTTGCTTGGAGAAAAGTACAATTAATCAATATTAATTAAAATGTTGTATTACAAGCATTACACGAGAAATGAGAGGCGAAAGCCGGACCATCCCAAATTTTTAATTACTAGAAATTAAGTCAATTCAGTTAACAATGACATAATTAATAAATTAATCCCGTTGAGAACTATTGTTTTGTGAGAAATTTGAGCATGAGTAAGTAGATAATATTCATGGCTGTATTATTAATATTATTACACCCAAGAAAATGATTTTAAAGATTTTTGAATTTTTAAGTTTTTCCAGTTTTTCTAAATTTAAAAAAAAACTTTTTTAAATTGAGAAATTTTCAAACAATATTGTTTGCAGCGAGAATCGAGCCTATGTATTGTTCCCACAAAACCAGGTAAGGGGCCGTTCACTTATTACGTTACGCAAAAAAAACGACTTTTTTCACCCCCCTCCCCCTTTGTTACAATATGTTACAACTCACACCCCCCCCCCTGAACGTTCATAATTTATTTTATTTTGATAATTTTTTATTCTAAAAAGACGGTTAAATTTCTTTTGTATTTTTTTCTTAAACATCAAAATACTGTACAGCTTAATAGGTCATATTTTGATTGATACTATTAGTATTCTCATGAATTATTGGATTGTGATATAAAGCAAAAAAATTTTTTTTTGAAGAAAATTCAAAAATATGCCCGATCGAATTTTAGAAAATTCAATCTACTTTGAATGTAAATATCACAATGATGGGATCATATTAATCATCATATGAATGACAGATTTAGAGAGATTTTCTTTTAAACTTATGATTGATTTAATTTTTAAAATTTCCACAAATTATGATTGTATTTTAAAGTCTTGTAAACCAGTTTTCTATTGATTTGTTACTTTATATAACAAAAACTATGTATTGCTTAGCTATCAAAAGTGATCTAGACATTCATAAATCATTAAAAAGGCGGAAAATTTAAAAAAATGTTTTTGGTGTGAATTTGTAAACAAATTTTTTTCGTGAACATTTTTTTTAAAAAACAGACGACAATTAGAACGTTACATACTTCTTGACCCCCCCCCCTTTGTTACATTTTGTTACAATTTTTCAAACCCCCCCTCCCCCCTAAAGTGCGAACGTAATAATTGAACGGCCCCTTAAATAATTTTGAAAACTGCTTCATTAAAATTAAACTTTTTCTAAATTAAAATTCTTCAAATTATTTTTTAAAAAATGTGAAAAAAAAAGTTTTACGCGTGTAATAAACACCAGAACAAAGAGAGAGAGAAAATAGCAGGTAAAAATTCATCGGCTTATTTCCGATCTCCAAAAGAGAGATTCTCTTAATCACCTGTATTTGTACTGTTGCCGTTATCATCTCCCGTAATTATGAAATTGTTTTGTTCAGCATTAATGACATTAAGATTTGAAATTATCGTAGCTTTTTCATCTTTTTCACGATTTACATTGACGTTGTTATTATTTGCAATATTTTGCTGTTGTTTCTTGCTGGTCGTTGAAAAAGTCTTTTTCTTGAATCCAAATGACATAGATGTGCCTTGAAAGAGACAGGAAAAAAGAGATGCAATTTAGCTATGTTAGATGCATTTCGTGAGATTAATGTGAGATTTCTTTGTGGAATGGAAATTATAATAATTATCCATGTTACTTGTTTCTTATTCTTACCTCTTGTTTCCGGCCCATGCATCTTCTTATTGGATGTCGATGACTTTTTGCTTTCAGATTGACCCTGCAATGTAAAATGTAAAAATTCGAATGAATTAGTTTTTCCTATTTTTGTGATTATTTTCTATTGTCATTTAATCATCTCTCTCGCTCAATGTCGCTTGTTATGTATCTATTCTCTCAGCACTGTTGCTGCTTGAAATTGCATAAAATCTCAATTTTCTTTTCTATTTTTGGATAAAATCAATTATCCTCAAAGCAAGCAATTTCTTGAGGTTTTTTTTTTCTTTAAAACACAAATCGTGCAAATATTTTCATTTCTCTATTTTGGAACTCAACTAGTTCTTCTCGACATTTCTATTCCTCGGATTTCTGTCTTTAAATTAATTCATTTCATGATTTCAATGCTTTATTTTGCAAAACAACTTTTATTGGATTTTTCATGCTGAATGCAAAGATATTATGTCGTTTCCAGCATAACTAGTATTTTAGTGCATTCATTATTTTACTTGTCTTGAAATTTTACTTAAGATTTACTTAAGATTTACTTAAAACAAGGCATTTTCACATATTCATCAAGTTCAGTTCAAAAATTAAATTCACAAGAATTTTGAAATTTATAAAAATTTAAATGTTTTAAGAGATCGATTCAAAACTTTTAAATCAAAGACAGACTTACATTAATTTACATTCATTAATTTACCAAAAACCCACTATTTCAACAATCTAATATTTATTTCTCTTACATACTATGATTAGTGAAAAGCTAATTTAACACGTTTTTAATTAAACTACAATCTACCGAACAACTTAAAGTCTTATTTTAAAATGCCAATCGATAATAATAATATTGCATAGAAATTTCTTTCATTGAACAAATCTTTCTCTTCTTGTTGCTTATTCCAAATTCAAAGATCCAAGGTCATATTATGAAATATTGATAGATAAGTCATACAGATAATTCACACATTCATTTAAATTGTGTAAATGGAAGTCGTAAAAAGAGTGCCAAAGGTTGAGTAAATTAAAAATTCTTCTTCTTTTGCTTCTTGCCTTTCCTTTACAATTTATAGAAAAATCGATCGATCTTTAGTTTTTACATTATTCCTTTCCCTTGAGTTCGGGTGAGTATTTTAATGTATTTCGAGCATGCCATAATAAATCGTAATAAACGCAAAAAATATCGGATAATAAAGAAAAAACTATCAAAAGGCTGCAGTCGTTTGTTTTATTTCCAATCGCTTTCAGTCAACTAGCTAAAATTGATGTAAAAAAATTTTAGGTCATGAAAAATAATATAGAATCTTTCTCATCATCTCTTGTACTTTTACTGGCTTTGTCTTCATGAGAGTATCTTTATCTAGTTGGTCACTTTTTATAGATATATTCTTGATTAAATATCTTTTGTTTGCTATTCATGATACTCTGGGCGAGACAATTCAGTTTTTATAGCATACAATTTAGATCCGGAGGGTAGACATTAGAGAAACTGGGAGTGTAATAGAATATAGGTTAATCTGAGGTCATGGATGTTGATGAATTTGAACTTTTTGCTGACTTTTGATGTGGTTTCTGCCAGGTAATTTTTAACGGATATTTTATTTTTAAATAATTTGTCCTTAATATAGTTGCATTCCCCTTTTGTTTTGATTTAAAAATTTCAGTTCTTTTTCAGAATTCGAGCAGCAAACATCGATCGAAAATAACTTTAACTTAATTATTAGTAACTCAATCGCAAGAAAATCATAATAAAGCTTCCAATGATAACATTAGAAGCGCTTAAATTGCATGTCTCAAAGTTATTTGCCTTACTTTATCCTTTGAAAAATTTTTCAATCGATTTTTCTTTCACTTCTTTTATAAAAGTTATTATAAAGGCCCTTCTCAAGGTGTATTGAATTAATGTGACTATCAATGTGGTACACCAAATGTTGTAATTCTTTTCTTTCGTACAATTGAATGTGCCGCATTCGCATTTATAAGTTTACTTATTCCATTCAATAAATTTAGAAAAGAAGAAAAATTGGAATATCAATTGATATCATTTTATATTTAAAAAAAAAGAATAGAAAAAATATATTTAAGTATCGACCATTATGCGATCTCCTATTGTTCAATAGAAACTCAATTCAATTGAGTATCAGATACATAGATTTATGCATAGATAGGCAGAAAAGTTATTGAAAAGATCACAGAGTTCATTCAACTGCATTGTCAGGTTTGAGCTTATTTTTTTTACTTCTCGTTCCAAAAAGAGAAGTGATAAAGCAGAAAAAAGTAAAATTTCTTTTAAAAAGCGGAAGCAAAACACTTAACGCTCATTAAGATGATACTTCTAGGTAGGCATTTGAACATGCTTTAAATTTCCTGCTACTACACACATAAAATTATATTGGATGCTCAGAAAAATATTTGAAGTATTGATACTTCAAATTTATTATTTTCTCATAATGTGTAATTTATTAAGTGGGTACATCGGTCCATCATCTTTCATGCAACTACAAATCCCATTTTTGGGACAAGGGGTCATTTACAAATGACGTCTATTGACTAATAGGATTTTTTTGACACCATTGTTATCTCTTTAGAGGAACACTGAGCTTCGATTCTTACATAGCTTTAGATCCCCTCAATCCATACCCTTAAAAGAAATACGTCATTTACAATCAACTTTCATCACCTCAAAAAGAAGAAGACAAAGTGAAAAATTGATATTTTCCAGCTACTGTGTCGCTAATAATACCAAAAGAAACTTCTTTTTTAATGTTTCGTAATTTAGATCTTGTTTCCTTACAGTCATGACTATTAATTTATATTTTTTAAACATAACGAAAACAAAAATCAAAAACTTGTGGATTTGTTGGTATTTTACAGTTAACTTTTAAGCAAGTACTCTTTCTTTCTGCTATGGAATGTAAGTTATAATGACAATATCGTGCATCATCCGCAATTGAATCAGTTGCTTTTAATGTTATGTCTCTCACTCTTTTTCTTTTACTCAACTTTTTTTTTTTATTTTGAATCATTTTATGCTTGGAATTTCGTGATTCACTTAATTGACAAATAAACAGACATGCGAGAGGTACAAGACAAAAAGTATGTGCAGATGATGCTGACGGTTGTTGAGAACGCTGAGTAAATAAATATGATTATGGAAAATTTTTGTATGTAGGGCACAACTTGAGCGCATCTTTCCATGGGGCTAAAAATTTGAATAAATCAGTTTAAATTAGAAATGCTAAGATTTATGTTAAATTGATTAATATAGTTCAGGTCTAAATAAATCACGCTTTTTCTATTGCAGCATGATAGTTCCATTAATGAGAGTTTGGATTGCAAGCAAAGATAAGTTTTGAGTTAATGAGGCAGAGAATATGAATCTTGATGATAGAATTGAAAGAACTCAACAGAGACATTAAGTTTTTAAATGAAAATTAAGCAGACCAAATCTGTGACCAAATGAATGCTTTCAGACAAATTGTCTGGGAGGATTTCTATTGATTTATTTATTGTCTGGCTGATTATTTGCTACGTTTTGTATACCAAATTATTATTCATGGTGCCCAGAGCCAAGGGCCCCCTAGTTATTGCGTATGATTGTCATTGCCATCGTCCATTAAATATCATGAATTATTCCTTCACGAAGTAAACAAACCCTTAACCAAGCTGGAAGCAACTGCGATTTTGTTATGTAAACAGACTACATAACCTCAAAGTCAACAAAAAACAAACTTCTTGAGCGGATGTGCCGACGAAAAGTCACCCAATCTCTATCACGGAAAAATTATTTGAAAACATGACGCTGAGGGACACGAATGAAAGAAGAAGCAATTTTATGCCTGTCAGGAATGCTTTATTTCAAAAAAACCCTCTTCTGAAATTTCTAGATAAAAATATGGAAGTGCAAACATGATCTCGAGCTGTATTTTATGCAACTGCATGAATCACATCATTTTGCACTTGTCAAAGAGTCACGACTATAAGATTATTACAAATAAGGTGTCATTAAGTGCAGACACACGCTAGACATGGTAATATTAACACATAACATTCTTGGCTACTTCTTTATTGATTGAAACTTTCATATTTTGCAATTAACGACTTCTTCATACACACAAATAAGGAAAGAAAAATAAAAATAATGGAAAGTGAAAAAAAAGAGTAAGTTTTCATTACCATTGTCGTATTTGAATTTTCGCACAATTTTTCTAATTCCAAAAATGACTCATGAGTGTTTTGACATTCGTCCATATTGAGTAATGAATGCCTCGAATTTAAAATGTTCTTTTATTTCATTTGAAACTTTTTTTGGAAGTTTCGAAAACTCTTAAAAAGTTTACTTAATCCTTGAACTTTTTGATGATTCATCCAGACGCAAAAAAAGTTTTTTTTTATGTTTTCCACAATTTAATTTTCACTAATTCTCTTGCTTAATTCAATTGTTTCTGTCTTTATGCAACTTCCACTTCACTAATTGCTAGTTTTCACAATATTTCATTTCATTTATACCACTGAAAATTTAATTTTTGCTATTTTGCAAATGTCCTTATTCGCGGTTGATTGAAAAATGTGACGCAGAATTTAATTCCAATTTTCAGGGGTAATTTTTCATTGGAAAAATTACAGGATTGGATTTATCTGTTTTTATTTTCATGAACATTCGTAGTAAATTCCAACACTCCTGAGTACTATATTCTTTGGAGCTGTTTTGTAGTAAGGGGAAAAGAACATGCGCGCAAGTCAAAACCTTTTTGTACCACATGAAATATTTCGAGAAGATTTTCTTCCCTTTTTGAATCGATAAAATATCCTTGCGAGCTACTAGTGACATCTTTGTTAAGTTTGTGGGACGAGTTTTCATTCTAGCAACTCAAATAAAATTTTATATGAAAACGAATGAAAAACTTTGAAAAGTTTTGGTTTTATTGCACAAAATTAACTGTCATTTGAGTTGGTTTTAAGATTTGTAGACTGAATTGAAATTAATTTTAAGTCTGATGTTTTGTTTTTTAACTCGAGATATAGCTAGTTATCAAAATCGCTCAATCGATGTTCCTGAGGAATCAATTTCAAGTCAAGGAAGGGAAAGGAAAGCATGCAGAGGGCGCAGCCTTTTGAGCTAAAGGCACTGCGATTCAAATTTGAACAGAATCTATTGTACCACACCCTTTAGACCTACAATTTATACGTCTAAAGACCTGATGTACCTTTCAATGTATCTAGTCACAATTAGTGTGCGCAAGATGCTGTAATGAAATCATCCAGATGCCAGTATATCCTAGTATACCTGGCAAAGGTGACAAGTTTTGAGCCGAAGACCTCACGAACCCAGCTTCGTAACTAGATCAATGAAATTTAGAAAGAGCTTCTAAAACTTGACTTGGCCTGGGATTAAACCCACAATCTTTGGCACGTAAGGCCAACGCTCTACTACTTAGGCTATGGGTAATACTTACGAACATAGATTGAATGATATTGCATCCAAAAGTGAGATTTTTATTCTAGCATTAATTAACCATCTTACATAAAAACCTACTGATACAGAAAGACTCAAAACACAATAGCTGTGTGAGGAAGTCTAGACTGATTGCATTATTCAGATAATTTGATATTAGAGTGACACTTTCAGTTATTATTGAAATTTAAGGGCTTCTTCAAAGAGTCAGTATTTCAAGTATACTTGACTTGAAACAAAATATCCAATAATCAATATCTGACTCATCGATCGATGCTATAGAATTTCAAAACTGCAATAGTATTAGTCTTACCTCATCTTCAACAAACTTTTCCTCCTCATTATAGACTTCTTCATAGTGGTAATACTCAAACTCGTCAGTTATTGCAATATAAGAGCGCTCATCAATTTCTCGTATTTTAAGCTGTTGATCTTTTGATATACATTTCCCCATATGAGATTAATGAAAATTGTTCTCTAACGACCACTTTTTATTAATTTTATGTTTAAATGAAGCATGCAGCAGCAGGCAAAATTTGGTAGTTCTCTCTCGTCTCTCTGTGAAGAAAAAAAATAAAATTTTTTTTTGTTAAAATGAGCAGCTAAACAACTTTTTTTTTGTGCAGGGTGTGAGAATTAAAAAGTTTTAGCACCAAATGCTTTGATCCAAACTTTATTTCCCAATTTTTTTATGTGTTCTGTTTCAATTTTTTTTAATTATAATGAATAATAAAGTTCGCTCTATTCAATTAAAAATTTTCGTTCTATTTTCTTTCTTTATTGCAGTCAATTGCACACTGAATGGAAAAGCCATAATCATTAACTGCAAGCAATAATTTCGAGTAAAATGAGAAAATTTTATGAGCAGTGAATTTAAAAAAAAAATTCCCTTAAATTCTGTGGATTATTAAAAATGTATCATGCAAGTCAATTTATAAGAACTTCAAACTATACTTTTTCAGCAGTTGCTAATAGAATGAAGAAAAATTTACATAATGTTCAATTATGTGTGCATATTTCCCTCTTGCTTTGCGCTTTTTTGCTTATATTCGTCATTGCAGTTTAAGTTGGAAATTAATTTGATGTTTGTGGATGTATAAGGCGCTTTTTTAAGTCAGATTAAAAAGCAAAGGGTTTAAAAGACTTAACAAGCTCATTGCATGTCCCGAATGGCACACGTCGGTTAATCGATCAGATATCCAGCACCTAGCCTATTTGACTCTGGCATGGGGCTGGATCAAATAGATTTTTATTCGATTAACCGACTTTTTCTATTCAAGTGTCATTCTAAAGTCAATTATTCCGCAAATTCTTGTAACAGGGATCATTTGTATAGCTACTATTGGAAACCAATGACAGAATGTAAAATAGCTACAGTACATTACCGAGAAAAGCAAATAAATCATTTCCCAGCACCCACTATGTAATGGATTGAGAAAGATCGACTTTTTGTGAGAATCGAACCTTAACTACTCGACTATAGAGTCCACATGACTCGATTCTCAAGTTTCTACATTGAGCCTTTCACTTAATACTTAACGCAAAAACTGGATTTAAGACACCCTCCACTAAGGCGTGGAAACTATCCCAAATATCCCATTTATCCCATATATCCCAAAAATATTCAAAATAATCCCTGAGCCTGTATGCATTAGTGTTGAGATATTTCATCATAACTTGAAATTACACGTCCAATACACTAAGGATACGTTGGGATATCTCAATTCTAATGCATACAGGCTCAGGTATTATTTTGAATATTTTTGGGATATATGGGATAAATGGGATATTTCGGATAGTTTCCAATCCTTGCCTTCCACCTTTTGAAACAGGGTCTTAATTTACAATAATATTCACAACCAAAAGACCTCAAAAGACAAATCGAGAACAACAAAATACGTCTCAAAAATTTATACAAGCTCATCCGGGATGAAACCATCTAATGAAACATGACATTGAAGTATCAGTTTTCATTATGAAAGAAATAAAGTTTTTGAAGAACAATTTAATTTAATATTGCAACGTAAAAAGTCAACTTACTCATCTTGATACGATGTATCATATGGTTGTGAATTAAGGGCAACTGCAAGAATGTAATTAATGACAAAAGTGCCCAAGGAGAAAAACAATTTTCATTCTTAAAGTTGTTACTGATTATTGCTTTAAGAGTCTTTACAAAAATATTATTTTCAAAATTAGAGCACTTTAGTTTACTTCTTTTGTAAGGAGATTAAGTAATGACTTTAATTCCCCTGTGTTCATTTCTCTTTCTCACTCACTTCAAACTGGGACTTGAGAAAATCCCATGTATGAGAGCAATAGAATATAAAATTTCACACAGCGCTCAAGACTTCTATAACATTAATTAATACTCAAAGGTGAACCATTTCGAAAGTCATCTTAAATAGCATCATCATCTTCATTTCTTCCCCTTTCTCTCGATGTGTTGTGGATGAAACGGTGCATACAGATAGAGATGGATACGAAGGAAGGCAAGCTTCTAATATAAGAAAAAATTCCACTATCTATTTATCTGAATCTAAAGCTCTCTGTTCTCTTTATGTTAGCTCATCTATTGTTTGTGGAATTGGAAGAACGGAAAGAAATGCTCTTGTCTCAAAATAAAAAAAAAAATAGAAAACTAACATTTAAGTGAAAAATTGCAGCTATTTCGAGAGTCATTAGAAGGATTCATTTACGATCAAAAGTTTTCTTCTTATCTTCATCTCGATGCGGTGTGTAGTGTACTGAAATGCAATATAAATGTAAAAGTAGCATGAGATGGAGGGGATCGTTCATGAGTAATGTCTATAAAATTGATATTTACTTTTCTGAGCAACAAAAAGCTCTTGAAAAGCGACACAACGAGCCCTGTCCCAAGTGGCGGAGTTAAGAAAGTCAATCAATGTTTGGAAGCCACACCTAGATATTGTTGCATCATTTTAAACCTTTTTGGGTACCTAATACTCAAAAATTGACTTTGACTATGAATGATAACACTGACAGCATCTGAGACCGACCCTTATTCAAACTAAGAATAGGTGACATCCATCATCTAGCAATACACGAATAAGTAAGCCTCAAATTAAAAAGGAAACATTGTTCATGAAGCAATCGGATCCCCATGTCTAAGGCTCTTTTCCCAATTTCAATATAAGACGTTATAAGAGCACATCCCATACTAAAGACTACGTGAAATTGAGCATCATCGTTGTCGACGATAACATCTTTAACTTCTTCATACACAGCCATAAGACAAGTGAAATAAGAATATTTTTTGATGGAAATGAAGGTGGTTATAACATTAAGGTTGTTTATTGGATCTTTTTACAAGAAATTTGCTTTAAAATCACTTTTACCAACCCCGCCACCGTAATTATGTAATTTCACAAAGAATTTTCTAGCTGAGCGATAATTAATTTTATTTTAAGTTTCTTCTACTTCTTTCACACAACGTCTTTACTCTTTACTTTTATGCTACTGAGAAAAAATTTCTTCTGTTAAATTGGATGGAATCAAATTGAAATCTGTGTGTAAAAAAGATTAAAAGTGAGAAATAACACGATAATTTTTTGACACTTACACACCCGTGATCTTTCAATGCCTTTAATGGTTTTTTCTTCTTTTTTTTATTATTCGAAACATAATATTCATGGCTTGAGTTTTATGTTACTTTTGCGCATTTTATTGCTTTTATGTGACACTGTAAATAGTGCCTGTCAAATGTAACGGAAATCTAATTGAATTGTCCGAAAATGACTTAATTCATGCATGGAGAAGTATGAAAGTGGAGTATAAGTGTTACTTTGTTGAATTTACTGTGAATGGACATGAAGGCATGACTGAAAATTGCATTGTAATCAAATTTAAAGTCATTTAAATTATATGGTGCAAAAAGAATATTTGGAAACACTTATTTATTGTAGATTTGACACAGCAGCTTAACATAAAAGTGTCTTAATGATCAAAAATACTATAAATTAACAATTGAACCCAGATTCGCTTTAGGCAATGTTAAAGCAGGTAAGCATTAACCGAGGCTTTACCCCAGGATCAGATGATGATGATTTGAATCGGAGCATCATAAACCCATACTATGCTACTGACATGTCTATTCTGGAAAGATT